GTGAAAACCGAATGATGTGACAGCGTGAAAGTAAGGTTCAATCAAGAGTGACTCGGATTGGTTTGTTCAACAAAACCATTCTGGATTTGGGTAAGTCTTACTACGGCCACCATGATGCCGCATCAAGTCACTTGATTTCCGAATTCTAACTTCAAGTTTGTCACTGGCCCAGGAGTACTGCTAGTAGCTTAATCGCCATTGTGTCTGGCTCTTTGCGGTATTTCAGGTCTCTACTGGTGACTACTATACCACTGTGACAATCCTTACTGTCATATTTCGTAAATTTCAAGTCAGTGTTCAAAGTTGTCATTCCCGCTAGAACTAAGTGGCTCTCTATTGAAGAAGCAGTGGCTATTGAATGGTCGAAATTTATAATGTTTGATGATCGATTGTCGATAGCATATCATAGTAGTAAGTCACACATGTAATATGCCTCGCCGTTATCATTATCATCATTACGAGCATCTGACAGCAGTGAGTCCGGCTAGCGATTCATATGCGACCGCGGCTGAAAGACACGCTGGCTGGGCATTATACCAGTAAGGGGCTCAACCAAGGAGTCACTAGTTTATCAGTAAGTACTAAAGTTAAATATCAAAGTTCAGTATTCGACCGCGGCACTTCAGCCTGACTCCGAACCACCGCCATTGTCCCTTGGCAAACATCATTATGATTCCTCCAGGCTCAGATCAAACTGCACGTCGCCAGGAGCTTGGTGATGATCATGATGTTAGCCACTGCAGCTTTCAGCCACCTCCAGACTCAAATGTCAAGATGTCCGAGTATGAATGGTCACAATGGTGGGATGAAATGATGAACCTGCCGCCAGTGGCAGACTCCGGGTCAGGCTGGCCTGACTCAGATATGCGGCCTGCCGCCTCGCTGGACATCATAGCACCGCTGTCCCATGAAAACGAGTCAAACCCGCACAACAGTTCAGCTCCTGCGCCAAGTCAGGTTCATCACACCCCCGCAGAGACCCCACTAGCCTTATCCTCCGAGGAAATTTTGGCCTTGGTCATGAGTTTCGGTGACTCGGACGCAACTGACAGTGCCCCAGAGGCTGGAGTCACGGCAGTCCCGCATCCATACACCCTTGAAGTCGCTGGCAGTGATGTTCACGCCCGCCTGTCGAATGTTCGCTTCGACCTGCCGCTATCATTGGGTCAGGTTGACTCACCGCCGCCATCCCGAAGTCGATACACCCCCTACAAAATTATTGACAGGCCTGACATTCATCATGGCAGGCATGGTCTTAGTGACGATGCCGAACATCACGCTGGCCCATCACGTCACAGCCTGATGCCAGGTGTACCACATCCTGCAGCACCATTGTCTACGACATCCGAGTCGTTGCCCCCAACTTCTGCGCTGTTCGGTCTTGAGAGCCTACCCAAGGTAAAATTGAAGGCCAAAAAGGGCATGAAACAGTCGATACTCGACGATTCGTTTCTACTTTCATCCAAGGAAAGATCAAAAAAGGCGATTGCCAGTCTCACTGCTGTCGTAACGGCATTCAATGATCGTAAGTCTCACAATATTCATCGTAACCTGACAGCTGATATCGAGAACAGCTGAACTTACCTTGTGGTCCCGTGGGAGTGACGCCAAAAAGCACGCAGAAAAAATTGGCGAGACTGCCAAGCACCTCAGGAAAAAGGTCAAGGATATAGTTCGGACGGCAGTCTTATTTGGCTACAATTTGGATGAAGCCTTGGCAACCCAAACACAAGAGGAGATAGAGCTTACCGTCAGCAACCTTCTGCAAGGCGACGCGTTCCTATACGGAGATATCAAGGTAAGTCCGGCATTATTCTCTCCTTCAGGCTACAATATGCTCATGGCTTTACGGTCAGGTGGGAGGAGAGACTATAGTCGGCGTGCCCTTTGCGAACAGAGTAGTGCGGCATTTTGCGCAGCACGTACTGTTCCATCAACTTGACCTCCAGGAATATGTCAACCCCAGCCGAGACCTTGGGGCATTATTTGCTTTCATCGGGACATTATTTGAGTGGGCGTTGAGGGAATTGTCTACTGGTGTTTTCATCCCCAGTGACTTTGACCTGTCCCGCGCCCGGGTCGCTTTCGACGAAAAGTTGAGTGGTCTCTACAAGTCAATGAGGGGCGATGTACGTAGCGTCCTAGTTGCAGGCATTTACACCCAAAGGGGGCAACCATCTTAGGGGAGTTACTCACTCTCAAGTGACGTTCATAGGGAAGTCTGGTATTGCTCGGACGAGCCGGTTCAATTAGTATGGTGCTAGTATCGCAAATGTACTATATACATGATAGTGTGCAAATATGACAATGATGCGAAGGGTATGCTTGATAGAGTAAAGTTTGAACACATGGACTCATACACTTGGGCCTGCACTGCACCCAGCCTCTATGTCCCATTTAAGATGTGAAGGGATGGGATTAGCAGGGCAAGTTACTTTTGTCATGGTTATTCCTATCATGATTATCAGGCTGCTCCTGTGTGACTCCTATTTGACAGCGGAAAACACCGGCTTACGCCGCAGTTTTCACTTATAAGGTGTGCCAAATCTAACAAGGAATCACCCCTTCAAAATCATGCCTCCCGTTGGTTTGTTACAGTACAACAGTGGCTGGCAGTCCCAGCCCTCCATACTTCCTGGACCATTCAAAGAACCATCTTCAGTGAATGTCAAGAGGCATTCAACACCTGCGATAAATGTTGCAAAAAGTCGAGCTACCACCGTTATTGTGGAGTCAACTACAAGCCTGGCAGCAACAAAGGAACCCCAGGCAACACCAGAAACGAAACAAGAAAATAATGAAGAATCAGCCATGCAAGATCCTGGTACGTCTGTTGCAAGTTCAAGACCATGTAATTTATGTTTAAGTTTTGCAGGTTTGCGCCAGCTGATTATCAGCAGAATTCGGAATGGTGGCGATGGGCCCGAAGTTGAGGTATGGGAAGCAGCGTGTTCCTTATCTTTCTCAGGCTGATTGCCGTGGTAGGTATTTTCCAATGTTACAGAAGATGATTATGTATATGTTTTGGATGCTATCGGATGTGACGATAAACTAATTCGCAAGTGAGTTTTTTTCTCCCTTTTCCAAATTTGAACTGATTCTGTGTTTTGCTTCAGACCGTCATACATCCCCAGCCTCCACCAAATTGTCGCCACCCTGCCATCCCCAATTCACGAGTCGATCCTTGTGCCTTTGCGCACTGCGATGGGGATCATCGTCGAGTCTCTCGACATCCCTGACGACTTCGAGGTCTCCTTACCCATCCACATGGGGCGTATGGTAGACGCCCCTGCTACCGCAGAACTTCCTTCTCCTCAGGATGAGACTCAGGGTTATCACCTCGGAGTACCGGACCTGGTGCTAATGTTCCAGACCCGTGATGACGACATCCGTCCCTTCTGGCCATTCGAGGTTTCCGTCTCCCAAACTGCTGAAGGTGCCGTCGCGAAGTTGCAGAAGTTTGGCGATCGGAACGAGCACGTTTTGGCCGCCACTCACATCAACATCGCTGAATCCCGGAAGCACGCCTCACCGACGTATGAGTGGGGTGTCGCGAAGAAGTTGAATCGGAGGGGAGTTCAGATGGGGGAGTTGACGCGGTCGGAAGATGGTGCATTAGCGTCGCACTCTCATACATGGTATCATCCCGCGACGGTCACCATCACCACTTGGATCTGTCCTCCTAACAGGCGATTGAACCTCAACTCTCGACATCGTGCTTACTGTGCGAGTGCCGTACGTGTCCCTTGGATTTTTCTAATACTAACGCTAAGCATTCGCACTATCAGGTACTTTATCCCAACCAGAACGAGCAGGCCCTCGCCAAAGTTCAAAACATATTCCAACGCACGCTGGAGCAAGTGCGCGATACCGTTGTTGACCACCTAGAGGCTGAGCACGCGGATGATGATACGCTCCTGTAAGCACTGCTATTTTACTGATGATCGTAAATTCATCAGTTCGATTGTTTCCAGCGACTCACTCCAAGCCATGAGGGACTGGTCTCCACCAAGGGAGCTGCTCGATTGGAACAAGTGCAGCAAGGACCTGCGGTCAGCGATGAAGCAGACTGGATTCAATCGGTACCGCGCATGGCACCGCAGCTTCCTTAAGCGTGTAGCCGATGAGGCCGAGGTCTCGGGATCTAGACCTGGACCGAGCAAGAGGGGCAGGGTCACATAGCGGCACATCTCGTTCTGTGTCTCGCGCAAATTCTCGATGTCTTTCAAATCGCACTTCACATGTTTACCCCCCAAATTGTATTACTACTACGTGCCTCCCTCCTCAGATTGAAATTGTACTAGTACTACCGCATCATGATCGTTTTCATTGTTTTGCACGCTGTCATTGTAGTCCGAGTCACGGCAGTACTACACTAGTATGATATAATGGTTTTTTCACTGACCCACTAAACGGCCTACTACTCATGAACATTTGGACCACCACTGGCGCCTTCTTCCATTTGACCTTGTCATAGCGGTTTCAAAATAGCTGGCATGCACATGCTTAGTACGCCTAACACTAAGTCACTAAGGCACTTCAAGACTCTTAGACTCTTACTGGTCTCTGCACCGAGCTGCCGCGGCCTGTCCGCATCGCACACACTTGGACTGATGGATTTGCCAGCCCTTCCGTACGTGACTACTACTATGTACCGTACTAGCCTTGGTGCTTAGTACTAGTAACTCAGGAGGGCGTAGCTCAAGTCTACGAGGTTTACTCCAATAACATTACTTCCGATAGCTTGTTGTCGACCTCGGGGGCAACTTTACACAACGGTTGTATTGGTCTGCGGCGTCTGAAAAGTCAGTGACTTGATTCTGTATAATGCACCTTTTCTGACTTGTTTATAAGATTTACTAGTAGGCACGGTGACCCTCAAGTCAATACCCTGGAGGAGCCTTTTGTAAATTCCTGGAGTGTCCTAGAAGAGCAGTCACTGTAATACACCATTAAGTTCAGTCCACCGCGCTCCTGGTTCTAACTACTAATATGCCAGTGCATCCGTCGTACCAAGTCTGTCTCTGGGACTCTCCCTTTCATCTCCGCACCTTCCACCAGGTTCACTAGATGCATTCATGAGGTGCATGCTCGTATCCCGAATCTCAAGACGTGTTCTTGCCGAACATCACCTTGCGCTCTCGAAGTCCCTTGGAACCAACAGCCTCAATCACCCCGAGGACCCACACGTTGGCATCATTTACACTGCGCTCAACCTCAGTGATTCCATTGACAAGTGTGTCGCGCTCTTGCATGGCAGGCCACACGATATAGTCGATGAGATTGGGGAAAGCGTGCCGAATCGCGGATGGCCGGAAGTGATCGTCGATGGTCACATTGACACTAAGTTTTCCTACATACGTGAACACCTCGAGTAAATCTTTTCACTTGCATCACGTTCAATCTCACCCACGCCTCATTTTCTAGGTACATCATATTTGAACTTCTCAAAAACGTGCAGGTTCTCGGATCACATCTAAAAGAGCGGTTGACTGATGGCGTTCTAGGCAATAACCGCTACTGGACTGGATCACAGGAGTTCGCCTAACCTTCCTCCTATACGAGCTACCATCGTTCTTGGCAAGAACGACGTTCGGGTGAGAATATCTGATCAAGGTTGGCACCCCTTTTCTCGCCTACAGATGAATGTTAAGGCAATATCTATAGGTGGTGGACTCTCATCTGCTCGGATCAAGTCACCTTCCGACCTCTTCTCTTTTTCTCACATTCGCAATGCAACACGCATGGATGACGCATGGCTGGGCGCGCTACGCTCAGCCAGTTCGAGAGGCGTTAAAGCTACTGAAAATACGCCCATGGCGGACTGAACAGTCGAATGTGAATTCAAACAATAAAGATTCTGAACGCAGCGAGGCTGGCATTGATCCCAGAATAGGGCTTGGCCTACCTACTATGAGTAGTAACATGTTTACACCGTGCGTGGTTCTTGGCTAGTGCCTTCATAACGGTTAACTGAGCTACCTTTACAGGTATTTCGGGAGTCCTGGAGCTGGTTTCCCTGAATGGGCTGGGGTGAGTAAGCTTTGCCCGTCGCATTTGGGCCTCGTGTTGACTTTATAAAGCAACAGATGTATATTTATGCTTACCCAAGCTGGTGCGTTTTTTTTTTCAAGTCAGCGGGTATCAACATGTGACGCTGGGCTAAGGGCATTTTATATTTAGATGGCCAAATATAAAATTCATATTCATATTCATATGAACCTTAAGGGTATTGAGCTATCGACTGCCTGCACGTGAACGTCACCATACATATTACCATGTGTTGTTCAACTTCCTGTGGCATCAAATAATGCAGCTGGTGAGGTCAATTCTACCTGATATTGATATTTGTTGCATGCACTTTTACAGTAGAACATTGCTCAGTGAGGGCACGAACGCTACGTTTGTCTTTGTTGGTATCACGAGGCAGCACAGCACCCATCGCACCCATCGCACCCTGGCAGCATTCAACCAAGCTTCAGACACCACCTTTCCTTTGTGTTGGACGCGCGACATTGCCGACAATACAACAATCTGCAGAGTCTGTGTCGTTCATACGCTCGGGCCCAGTACTCTCTTGCCAAGTCCTATTCCGGCAAAACCTTTCCCAATACCAGATGAACTTGGCCTGATAAGAGCGAGGGCGTCGTCCGTTTCGAGGCTATGGTACTACATAGACCTAGTGATGCGGCAGGGTATGTGTATATTTTGTGACTATCGTTATATAGACGCTGATTGCCTGTTACCAAAGTAGCACAGACCCATTTTCATCATTCTAAGTCAATGTGCCTCATGCAGTACTATATCCTCATCGTTATGTCAACTTGAAGCTTGCGCCTTCTTCCCTTTACCATTCCTTCCCCGTTTCCTATGTTCTGCCTTGATGTAAGTGTTTTCAACATAACTATGAAAAGTATATGCAGTGCCTTCTGACATGCCTATTTTTTCTTTGTAGAATCCAGAATTGAAATGAGCCGTGGTCGACAGGTACAAAATGCCCCGATCTTTCATTGTACTGATATATTGACGGAAATTCATGGCAGGATAGCGAGAGTGGACACTCGTCACAACGTCCTCGATTTCTTGCGGCGGTTCATCGTCACTTGATTCATCGTCATTATCCAAATAAAGTGCATACGTTCTCTTCAGCGGCTGAGGCACCGCCTGGCCTTCTTGTTGTCTGCCAAGGGCCCCCTTGGAGATCACGAATATGTTGGATGGTAGGAGGCTCTGCTCGGTTATAGCAGGTATGTCTGTCCTTTGTTTTGCTGGTTTGTCTTTGGGTGTGGGCTCCTGTGAAGGTAGGTCAGATCGTGCAAATCACTCACATACCAAGTCACATACCATATTGAGGATTTCGATGGCAACTTTCTTATGTCGCCTCCCAGAGCTATCCGCCCTTGCAGCTTTGAAAGCACTGTCGATGTCGTGCACAGTTAAAAGCCGGTGGGGGGGATCCGTGTGGCGGGCGGTAGACAATCGCCAGCCTAAGTGTTCGTACAGTTCTGGAACATCCATGATAGCTCTGATGGAGTCAAATATGTCTCGCCGACCATCTGATTCAGAGTGCAGCTTGCCCACATACGTGGTTGATTGGCTCCTATCCATAGTGTGTAATGGCACTCGAAATTCGACTAGCATAACCGTGAGCATCTCCACCTGACTCGGGGTCGTTGCTTGCACAACTTACTTTTATCAAGCTCGGGGGCCTGGTACTGTTCTGCGGTATCAGTGATATCGGGTAATTCTGGACGAATACCAAGCAGATACGCAGCGGTTTGTGCACGAGTGCGCTGACGAACAGAAGAGACTGAATTAATCGTAACACTACTGCGAGGTCTACGAGTCTCCCGTCGCGCATCTGAGCGAGGCTGTGACATGACGATTCGGAGAAAATACAAGCTCATCACCCACTTTGCACATGTGCCTTTTATCATGCTCTCAGCTCAGAGAAACGAGTTGCAATAACTTCAGACTTCGGCCAAAGTGCATGAGTTAGTACGAAAACACTTGAATTTACTATTATTTCCATGACGCCGACAGCACAGCTTAAACTTCCCCACCCAATATAGCTCGAAAAACAATGTAGACACTGACGGAAAGTTGCGGTAAACGATTACTGCATCCCGAGTCACGTCACCCTGCCAAAACAGGCGAGAGAAACAACGGAGAAACTTACGAATGCTCAAGATTTTCTTCAAGGTGAGTCAGTGAAGTTCCACCGGGCTAGTATATTATGAGAATGCTTATCACCATGACTAACTATACAGGAACGATATATAAGATAGCTAACCGTCCTACGGCTCATTTGTTCTACACCCTTTCGTCTCTCCTGTTATCTGACTCGGATTTCGCGGCATGTCTGCATCAGGGCATGACTCAGGAAGCCCTCCTTCGGGGATGATATCCCTGTGTGTCCCAACCTCTCCTCAGGCTCGGGCGAAGAGAAGAATAGCCACCTTGATGGAAGAGGTCGAACTCTTGAAGCAGGACAAAGCAACCAAGCAGAGGTGCGTCAGACTTGCTCAGACTTTTAAAGACGCAGTCTTAACTTAATTTCTTATCAAGGAAAACAACGTATTATGTTTCACAGGGTCGAGCAATCCGTCGTTTGGTCGCCTTGTACACTCCTATAGAGGATTTAATTGCTGAAAACGACCGACGGTGTGAATATGAAGATACTTCCGGTGTTTCCACTGTAGAGTAAGTACTAGTATTCATCTTGCTTTATCATGACCATATCCTGACATGCACCGGCGTGACAGGCAAGACCGCCTACAACGTAGTTATGTCGAACTTGTCAAGGCGTTGCCATGGATTCACGACAAGATAGCAAGTCTTGACGACGAGGAGTCTGAAGACATGCTTAAAAAGGTCTGTTCATGAACTTCTTATGTCACTTTTTCCTCATTAGTACGATTCAAATGTAGCTCAAGCGAGGTGCAGACTCGGCTCGCGGCGATGACACGGGTACCCTTAAAGAGCTCGTAGCATCATGGGTAAACATCGAGTTTTGTCCAACTCCTCTCATCTCGACCAACGACAAGCATCATCGAGGGTTTGTAAATGACACATGTGGTAAGCTGCTCTGTCCAGCGGAATGGTGCTGGGATGATCCTGCATAAGTGATATTCCGTATTCTTTACTGTCTTCATTTATATGTCGCTGATACTATGCGGTCCAGTGTCAAGGCCGGCATTCGAGACCGTACGACCGCTTTCATCGTCTCCGAAAATTCATGGCCCCTATTTATGTATCAAAACTGTGCAGCTGACGCCGGCAATCTAGAGCACGGTCTCATGAAATCTAAGCTATTAGTGATGGTGAGCTGATTTTTCTCATTGGTTCGTGTCTCATAATCACATCGCAGGGGTTGAAGGCCCTCTTTACCTCTCCCTCATCTGCCAGCGAGATGGATGGTGAAGGTCAAGGCACCGATATAATCGAGAACAATCAACGTGCACGGAGACAAGATCAAGCCAAGGTAAAGACATGTGTTGCGTCTATTATTGGTATGAGGAAGGTTACTCCTCGGGCGATTGCATATACAGCTTGTCAAGTAAGCATCGCCCTATAACCGTGATGTAGATGACGAGTTTTGCAGATCCGATTCGCTCTCTCTAGTATCACTTCATGGCGCAACGTAGACGGAGATTTCGATTACAAGATATTCTGGACCAATATCGTAGATTTCTTCGAGGATGCTCCGGGTCCAGCTGCGCAAGCCAGGGTCAATGAACTTCTTGAGTGGTGGACCAGGTAAGCATGGACTGTCAATGAGTAGAATTGATCGCTAATTCCTGTACAGAAAAGTTTTTGGAAGAAATCACAGACAAGACTTGACGTCGGACGTAATTTCCCGGATGTCCGTCCGTACACTTGCTGCTCAGAGACTAGCGATGGAAGATGCTGCATTGGATTCTGACTCTTGACGTTCATCGCCGTATCTTAGTGCCTATTGTTACTCAGTAATATACTCTCTGAAACTAATGTGATTGCGGTCTCCCATATCTGCCAGTGACACCCCATGAATGAATCATTGTGTGACAACCCTTAATCTTTCTGTCAGATACATCTATCAATCGACGTACCGCGTATACAACAAATATATATATATATCGATAATCTGAGTAATTATACTCCTGTAGACAATAAGAAGAATATGCCGATTTTGTGATGAACAGATGTGGTGATACTCCTGCTTACAACGAGAAAAATATGCTGATTTTCCGATAGACAGGCGTTGTTACACTCGTGTATCCACCAAGATGAAATTGCCGATATTCTGATGGACTAATGTAGTTATACTCCCGCGTACGGCAAGAAAAATATGCTCATTTTCTGAAATATAAAATTGGACGGTGTGACTTGTCAACGAGTTGCATCTGTTGTTGTATAAGAAAATACTCTTTGTCTATGATAACACACAAGAATGTGCGAGATTGGCAAACTTAGAAACTCGAGGTCAGAAGGGGTGATATCTGATGGACGGGTGTTGTTATACTCCTGTATGCACCCAGATAAAATTACTGATTTTTTCATGGACAGATGTAGTTGGTACTCCTGCATACAACGAGAAAAATATACTATTTTTCTGAAATAAGGAATTGAACGATGTGACTTATAAGCAAGTTGCTTCTGTTGTTGTAAGAGAAAAAACTCTGCATATGTGATAACGCGCGAGCATCGGCGAACTTAGAAACTCGACGTCAAAAGGGGCGGAGTTGTAAAGATGCCAAAGATGACATGATATTACAATGTAGCACTGCCCGTGTGTGGTGGCAGTGCTGCGCCAAAATTCTGAACATTTTGAGACGTCGTCGCTATTGCTAAATCTTTGAACTTGCTCGACATTCTAGAGGTTTGATTTTACACAAGGTGATGATCTGATGTTATTTGTCTTTGGAAAAGCTGCTCAGAACGTACCGACTCGCTCATTCAAGGTATTTCGAGAACCAAGTGCCTTGATGTGAGTCGCTGGAGGCTTTGCTGGTAGAAGAACTCTCCCTCAGTGTTTGGAGCCTCTCACCAATTTGTGAACTATAACGTATATGCTAACATCTACCTTGTATTGAGAATAGGGCAGTCTTTTTGTTGCTATATAAATCAAGTATTTGCGGCACTGTGTCGCGTTGTGTCTGACTGCGTAACAAGGTAACAAATTATGTGTGATATATCTTGCATTTCATTTAGGTAGTATACTTCGTGTTCGTTCACACAAGGTGACATTTTCAAAAAGTTGCAAACGCCTGAAAATCTATCTCTTCTTCAGTATGTCTCCCATTGGCTGAGAAGTATTTTGATATGCTAATGCCTGTCGCAGTTGCTTCATCCGCCAAGTGCAGCTCTTGTGATTTGGTTTGCCAACCGCTTTTTGAATGAAGGATTTTGGACGCTAGCACTTTGTAGCTGCTGCTCGAGCGGCATGGCAAAATCTCATTTAATACAACAATTTCCAATATCAACTCACAGAGCTCCACCTGCGCCGTGAATGCGAGAACTAGACAACACAAACCAGATGATCAAGACTTTCAACTGTCATATTTTAACCGAATTTTTTCATGCAAGGCATGGTTCTATTGGTTTGAAGATTGCAAAAGGGTGCGGTATTCATGTAAGTAGCGACCTTTGTGCTCGTCTTGGCAATAATGGTTCCAAAATCCACTTCATGAATTGGCATCACATTTTTCATCCATAGACTAGTTCACGTCTTAAATCGTACATAGAGGCTAGGGCAACTTGGTTTATTTATTTTAAAATTCGTCTTTCCTTCATAATGCCAGACATTTCCAAGTAAACCCCCCCACCAGATTTACGGCGATTGTTGTGATTACTAGTAATATATACTTACATATGAAATTGTAATTTGTTCACCGATTCACTGATGATTGGTCCGCTTCATTGAGAGAAACACACCGAGTCATTTATGCGACAGGCATGGCTGCTGAACCTTCTCAAGGCGAAGGTGCGATATTAATAACGTATCGCTGAGATCCTGGGCTAATGAAGAGTGTTCCAAGAAACGAATAACCTACGTCCTTATCGTCGATCAGTCAACTCCCAACAAAACAATGAACGAAAAGGTTTACGACGAGAAAGCAGAAAGACTCTTCCCAACTCCATCTCCTCCACTGACGGTACTTTGTCCATAGAGATGGCCAGGATGCAACTTCGAATCATTGACCGCGGTGCGGCACGCATTGATCGACAACCACACTCGATATTATATCTTCAGGAATTACATCAAGTTTCACAAGTGAGTGATGGAAAAACTACACTATGCGATGATTCACGGGATATCCTAGCTACGTTACTCATCGAGCGCTTGCGATATACGCGTTAGGAGGGAGCGGCCCCGTGATTGAAGCATTTTACAAGCGGGACATCAAGATTCAGAGAGATGCCTTTGTATCACCCCACCCAATCACAGCGCAGAATTTTGTTGACCATCTTGGTGATGCAAAAAAGTGAGCAAATACTTGCCCCACATGCCCTGACCTTACATCCGGTGAATTGGGTTAGGGCTTTCGATGGCGGCAATGCATGAGGTTCGTTACCCGGATTTCCTTCCGCCGTCCATGTTCGTCGCCCGGCCTAGTGATGACATCGGCGCTATGATGAACCATTTTGCATCGTTGGTGCTCGATGACCAATCTTTTGCGATGCCTCTCAAGGCACCAAGCGGACAAGATACTCACGCTTTCTCAATTCTTACTCGAGTTCTCAAGGACCCCAGCCTTGCGTCGAAAGGTCCACGGCGTTACACTGGGCAATATCCTGATACACGTGTGGCTCATGGTTGCAGAATTCCGCGATCACGTTCAGAAATGGACGGTGAATCTATCCAGACCAGGAGAGATCGAACGCAAGATGGAAGAGTGTATTTGGATTCTCGGTAATGTATCCTCTCGGAGGATGGAGAAACGGGTTTACCGCCGATTTCTTCCTGTGAGCGTCGATTGCAATCCAGAAATGTTCGATACTCACAAATCCTGGGATGCATATGGTCACTTCAAGTATCTTCACTCATCGCATCCTTGTCTCCTCGAGCACAAGCCCTACTTCTCCGCGCATACTTCTCAAGTGTTGTTGCATGGTTCATGGCACGCAGCTGACCCCTCCTGAATTTCAAGTCCTGCTTTGAGTCGACGCCCACGATACCGAACCCCCCAGACAGCCTCGCTGTCCCACCAATGGAAGGTATTCCAACAGAGACATCTAACTCATTCCTTCCTCTCGTTCAATCATCTATGATGCATCCCAGTGAGCATCACCCCAAGATCCAACCAGCTTTCGCACACTTCTTCCACCATCTACGGGATCCGGCCGAAAGGATATTTTGCCGAAACTGAACTAGATGGGGCAGAAGAACTTGACGTTCGTTCGAGCAGCGGTGTTGACTGCAGATTATATGGGATGGGCTAGAGAAGGGGAAGAGGCGAGAAATTGGAGTTACGAAGGGTTCTATGTGTAAGTGGTGAGGGAGATCGGAGCACAGTGACTGTTGGTTTGAAACAAGGGTGGAGGTTAGCTCAAGATGAAGTTGTGATACGGCCAAGGTTCAGAACAGAAGAAGTCAGTGATGTATTGCAACCCGCAGAATCGTGTCGGAAAAAACGGAAAGGGCATCTGGTAGTCAAGTATACAACAGCTGAAGCTAAAGTACAGAGTCTGTGCGGCACTGTAACGATTACAAATCATAACATCCCAGGTGCCTGTAGATATTCATAGTGCGACACGAAATCGTCCCCATCAGAGCGACCAGCAGTCCTTACAGAAATCAAGGATCAATCTTCTACAGCAGGAATGGCTCCAGTGCTTGCCACAACTGCGTCGTCACGTGGGTGACTCCCAGCGGGTGGTGTATATCCTTGAGCGGGAGGCACTGATCCACCGAAGTCGTACTTGGGAGGGCGATCATATATATTGTAGGCAGGAAGTATATCTTTCCCATCCCAATCTGGATCATCAGGCCCTCCAGTTCTGCGCCCAGCAGAATCAGTATCCGCAGCATTGACTCTGCGATCGGGGCGTACTCTGCGATCGGGGCGTACTCTGCGATCGGGGCGATAAGCCGATGGGAGAGAAGTAAGATGATGGTGCATCCGAGAGGGTTGATATGAAGAACTGAATGTATAGTCTCCACCAGGAGCTTGAGAGTTGTCGTATAAATTTGATGTCCTGATGGCGAAGAATTCTGTGAGAGGTCGGTTTCTCCTTCGCAAGACACATATCCTTGACAAAGATTAGTAAATATCTTCTATGCGTTTCACGTGAAATCCCCAGACGCACCTTGCTGCCACCAGGAGCATCAATGCAGAGACAGCAATGATAAAGTAGAGGTGTTGAAGAACGGACTATAGGAACAAATTTCGAATATTCACATGATGGTCAGCTCGTCGGAAAGTGATAAGTTGATGATAACTGACCTTGTTACTCTGATTCTCGGTGGAGTCCTCGGTTGCTAAAAGTTCCGAGCGACCCATGAGCGCCATGGAAGCACTCAAAGGGATAAAAGTCATTTGGAGAGGCTGCTAGTCGACTTCACACTCGGTTGCGCAGCATTTTCCTACAATCACTAACTGCTGCATGTGCCATGTGAACGACGTTTATTTTGGTCGGTGACCGGTGGGAGTTAAGTCTAACTTAAACTAGTCCTGGTGTAGCAGCACACGCCACAGAAACCAAAGCTGCCACAATATAATATGCCACGCACGTGAGTGCCTGTACCGGCAATGGGAAACTCAACGAAGTCTAATAGGCAGGAACAATAAATTGACTTGGATGAGCTCGTCGTTGCCGCTCATGTCGACCTCCAGGGCCAGCCCGGTCATTACTATGGCTGGCTCGCGTTTCTTCCCAAAATCTTCCACATCCTCTCAAACTTTTACTACTCAGAAAGGTTCAGGGGATCCAACTCGGGCGTCTGTAGTTCACCTCTTGGCTATGGCTCATTCTCTTCCATGTTCGGCAGCCTTTCAGGCATTCATGCAGCTCGTGCAGCCTACTGCGAGGTTTCAGTTAGCTCTTGATCTGCTACTGCCTCTCCTTACTTCATCCGCTGATGTCAGTTGAGTTCTGTTGACAGTGATCAAGGTTCTTGCCACTGACCTCTAACTATTCCGCTGCGATGTGGCAGCTCGCGCAACGCATCCCGGTTTCATTTATCCTTTATTCCATGTATGCTCCTTATCCGATTTCTCTCAATCCCTTCAAGTCTGTCTTGTACGCTACATTCGTTAAGGAGAGAGAACTCGCCATAGAAATTTCAACCGAGGGCGGGTTCAGCGAGAGGGAGCAATTGGTTTGGGTTCTCTGGAAGATCCTGAAGGGGGATGGTAACGATGTAAATTCGATATTGTCCTACCTTTCATCTCTCTCACAGTCGCCCAGATTGGTCCCTATTCTCCTAGTACCTTGACAAAATCACCCCTGCCTCCGGAGTTGAGGGCTTCATGTCTGTTTTTGGATGACGAAACTTTCTTGGACAATGACCCGTAAGCAGCAACTTCACTCCTGTCGATCTTTCTATATCCGAATTCGTCAGTGATCATTCTGTTGCCAAATCCACGATCACGGCAGGAGAACCGAAGCAATTTGCCGAGCAAGGTGCTTCCAAGAATTTGCTACCGTTACTCCCGCCTGCCACGGAGACCAAGATTACACGAGAAGCAGATCGAGAGAATGAACGCATCGCCCAAGCAATGAAACTTGTACTCGCAGCTCGTGATCGAGCACTTACACTCACAGAACAACGGGTGAGTATTGTGAATGAATCAATTTGATATCTGCCGTGACGATTCATTGCGCAGACCTTGACGCCTTTAATACCCCGGCTGACCTCTCCCACGATGATAACTTCCGTGGACCTACCGCCCATCGTCTCGTATAATCCTAACATAGCTTACCAGATTGTCATCGCTTTACTGATGACACTTCCTAATAACCTTGCACAAGATATCTCTGTATATTTGGACGCCCTGACAATACTTCCCCCAACACTCCCATCATTTGACCTCCTTGGCTGTCTCCTTCGTGATACATCAACTATTCCAGATTATTCAACTGGTGGCAAAACTACGATAGCGGACATCGTACGCTCTGAAGTCCTGGGACGCTTTATTCATGAGAGCATCAAGTGGCTTGATAATGCTGAGAGAGACGAGCACGACGGACTTGTCAGTGATGACCGATTTGCGAAGGGGGTTCAAAATGTTGGTTTCACGTTATCTTCGAAGCACATCGCCTTACTTTTTTGCAGTTCTGTCGTTTCTATTCCTCTTTGCTCAAGCTCTCGATCGTGGACGCCGCTTCCGATGCAGACTCAACTGAAATGTCGCACTTCACCTTGCGCCACTCACGCTTCGAAGAAGCAAACGCTCTGTATTGTATCCTTGCATCAGGTAGATTTGACCCTTTCTACACCGCTATGATATAGCAATTTTTGTTTTATCCCACGCATGTTTTCATCTCGTTCCATAGTCGCACGCCATTACTTACCATATGCATATGCCTTTACAATTAGCTATATGCCCTGCACTCATATGATCCCGGTTTATGCCATGACTCGTTTAGCTGTTCGCATAGTGTCGTAATCCAGATGCAGGTATGTTTAGGGATAAAATCCAACGGTTCAAAGCTCAACCTGATCTAATAAATGATAAAGTGCGACCTTAATATTCGATCAACGCATATCGTGGTACAGTGTGGTTGATAAATTGAGCAGTCTTCAAAGCTTAATATTGCAGTGTGCTTTTCATTTAACAGGCATACGCTTGAAACAATATGGAGCTTGTGTACTCAGGGTCAACCTGCTGATACTTGTCACAAGCTCCAATGTTATATCCCATAATAGCTCGACTATCCAAGTTTATGAGCCAGGTGCGTAAGCCTCCGTAATTCAGTCGAGCGCATCGTATGGTACCATGATGTTCTCAAATAGTACCTTGAACTGATCCAGAACTTCGGATATTATTCGCTATCCTGAGTACGTTGTGACACATAAGGATGTATTCAAGAATGAGAAAGTTAAAACCGGTTAACCAAGTGAGGGTCAGGTGAAAGAATTGCTTGCGATCGAGCCTGAAGTCAAGGAGAAAATGGATATGATAGATATTGTAGAGCGCTAGGCTTGTTTAGAGAAGCTTGTAGTGAGTGACCTCATGGGACATTGAATGACCATGTAGGGGAGGTGTTATCCTAGCTCCAAATTGATCTCCGTACAAGCCCACAACAGCAGTATCTAATCCCAGAGGAACAGTAGCTGCGCTATCGAAGGATTCCGAGTCGCTTGCAGGAATCTGGAATGAGATGTAACTGACGATGTGGTCGATAAACCTTTCCCACAACCAACCTTTGCTGTAAAGCTCGCAGCGGTCAAAGCATATTGCTGAAATGCAGTAAAGTCATCAGTGAACTTGCCGTGCGCCAATCTGTAAATCAAGGTTGAGCCTATGCAGACAGTCGACCTAGGAAAAGAAATGACCAACACTGTATCGCCTTTGCGGAAATTGTGGGCCCCTTCCCCTGGTTCCTCGACAATGCCAGCAATATCCATTCCAAGAACGGCAGGTTAATGTATACTGGCAGCCCAATGATTATAATCTTAGATATCGTCCATATTTTCCATTCAGACCGGTTAGACATGTGCATTGGAAAAAAGGCATAATGTCATAACGTCATATATTCATAATCATAATCATAATAATGTCATATGTTTTACTTAACGCCATACTATGTACTTAGGCGGGATAAGGAGTGTCGAAGTAGTGTGCTGTAGGACTATTTGTCAATCTAGTACAAAGGATGAAAAACGAACATAGTAAGCCAGTCAAACGACGGTGAAATATAATGATAGTAATACACACATCATGAAGCAAACAGAAGATGAGCGACAGTTCATAGATATCCACGGGTGGTGTGGTTTCGTACGATTGCGACGGACGCAGATGATGGCCACATAGAGCTGTCCGGGTCAACAGCGACAGGGTACAGGCTGGGTGGTGAAAAAGGACGGTGATATGCGGGGATAACATAACGCTCCGTGCGGCGCGTCTGCGATGATTGCCAGGGATGAACTTCAGATGGTCTTTCGAGGTCGGCGTCAACTGCACATGTTGCTATATGAGATCGTGAATAGTTCGACGATGTGCGAGAGAGATCCTCGGGGAATTTACCTTTGGAGTAAGGGGGCAGCGACGATGGATAGTCAGCATGCTTCTCGACGTCTTGGTAAACGCCGGAGGTCATAAGGTCGAAAATAGGCGTAAATGATGACTGGAGTTTGATTCGAGGAGGGGCAGGGGTACTATAAACGGGCAGTGAACCAGCGGATTTGCCTTTCAGTCTGACGAATGTGTGAGTTTGACAGCGATCATAAAATAGGATGGGCACCAACCTGGGAGCATGCGACGTCGACGTCTGCATTACCGGAGGATTGTAGCCAAAGCGCTTTGCAATCCATAGGAAGTATAACCGATAGTATTTTCTCGCTTCACTTGAGAAGCCAAAGAGAACAAAGAACGCCAAGGCGCAAACCGGAAAGAGCCACTGCGTCAAATCGATGGATCGTTTGTAGATTGGATTGCTGGTCCATTCGGCCGCAGGAATAAGACCGACGTGCGAGAAATTGTAATGGGTATTTGAAAAAGATACCCATCGTTGGAGGGGTATGCTCGTGCCGGAGATATAGGCACTGTAGATACTAATTGGCACAGTGAAAGCCATATCGACGACCGATAGTATCATCAAACGGATGTAAAGGTTGTCGTTCATCGAATTGTTGCCTGATATGAGTGAGTTGAACGCCATACGACGTTTATAGAATGCAGCAACAGTCAGGCCTAAGAAAAATGAGCTTGGCTATGTAACAGGACGAACGGACGAACCAGAGTAAACGAAAGAGATACAGCCAAGTAGCGAAGGCCACATGTAGATCAGGAAATATGCTGGTATTACATTGTAAATTGCTGGCCAGCAACCTACATCCTCAAGGATATCGAAACGGTGACCTTGAACAATGTAGTCTGTCCAATACGATCGCGTCAGTTGGCATTGTATTGTTGCTGAAAAGCTACGTACGAAGTGCCATAACTATGACAGGGATACCGATTGATATGGAAAGATCAATCATGACGACACGCCATTTCTGTCGACTAGTTAGCACAAGCACTCGCTCACAATACAAGAGGGTCTAACGTACATCCTGATATGTTGCCAACCCGGTTTTCATGACAGCTATACTGTACAAGCGACGACTAATGCACAACGCGGAGGCAGGGATGCCAATACTAGCTCCAATGAGCAATTTGGTTGCTGCAGGTCCGTTAGTAAAAACAACACTAGAAAGAGCATCGGCGATTACTCACAGATATCACACCATACGGGTGCAACATTCAAAGCGGTGTTACGCCAGATGATGGAGTTCACGAATTGGATGAGACATGAGATGGCTACCCAGATCATATAGACGCAAGTGCCTGCATTCCATGCTTGTAGGTGCCATGGGAAGGGGATGAGAACAAGGAAGAAACCCAAGAAAGAGACAACGGGGATGAGAGGATACGTTGGATTCACGCTATAGCTCATGGCAACTTGAATATTTGGTACTGTCGTCGGCGATGGAAACAAAGATGGTGCTTGGGAACAAATGTATAGTGGGCTCCGACTCTCATCTTTAAAACGCTGTCACTAAACAGACAATGACGAAGCGGAGTTGGTCGATAATTGTGGTCTTTGTGGTTTTCGTTACGTAATTAATGGACACCACAACGCATATCGTGGTACAGTGTGGTTGATACCGCGTAATCTCGGTAAGAACCCTGTGCAAAAAGATGAATGCACTGTACCGTATTCTCCACAAATTTCGTAATATTCTTTGTTGTTGCATTTGCTCTGATCCAGGAGTCTTCTCTGCTCTCAAGTGTAGCTGATCAAATTGGTACACCAAAATATGCTGCCTTCGTTATTTTGCGAGAGGTACATAGCGCAATGGTCAAGAGCCATATGTATGCAAGTGACACAACGGACCGGTAGATATCTATTACTTCGTGCAAATTGAGCAGTCTTCAAAGCTTAAATACTGCAATGTGCTTTTCATTCAACACTGGATGACACTTACTGGTGAGTTATAACTTTTAGACGTTATACCATAATTATGTCATATCGAAGATACCTATGGCTAAGTTGTAGCTTTATGGATCTGCAGCCAAAATGATATTGCACAGACGTAAGTCACTGGTTTCAATATGAATGAAAAGGAAGCTAAGTCACCCTCATCACCTTAGTCATTGGCCACGGGACTTAAGTATATAATGCTATACATGGTTTATAGACTAACATGCCATGATTTTACTAATAGTAGGAGTTAGACATTTTATAAGGGTTGATCGTAAAATTTATGTTTCAGTGGTGAGACTGTGCATTCCCACAGATCTTAGCCTATGATGGCGGCCACAATGAGTGATTTTCGACATCGAGTCCTGACGTTTTGTTTATTGTATGCGAACCAGTCGCTCTTGAAACGCGTACCAGACAAAGAACGCAGCGTCGCCAAAGCGTCGCAGCCACCAACCACCGTCGTGGTTTATTTGGACCTGTTGAAGCCAACAAGCTGATTTATAATGATACGGTCTTCTTTAGATTTATTCACATCTGGCACCCACCTAGCAATCTGCACATGTAACATGTCAGAATCAAATGCCTCGTTAACTTCCGAGTCATCGCATACTCGCGGGAGAGGTCGTGGGAAGTCCCATGGTGGGCTAGGAAAGTACCTTCGCGCACGAGGCCGTGGTCGAGGTGGCCGCCCAGCAGAATTCCACCAGCGCCTAGTCCTGGAAGGTGAACAGGCTGTCGATCTCGACCCTGATTCGGAAGAGGCGAAAGAACTTCAACAAAAGTACGCACGGCGACACATTGGATCTAACGCCGATTGTTATGCGGAGCTCGAGCCTGAGTTAGATTCTGACGGTGAGCAGTGAGTGAATGATTTGTTGAGTTTATGTTTGACACCATGTAGGAGAGGAGATTCGTAAGCTGGAAGTAGACTTATCGTCATTCCTTGCGAGACAGGTTATCGGACGTGTCGGAGACGACTGTGGTTGCCGCAGTGCCTCCAGTCGATGATGATGACATCGACCATGAACTCGCACATATCTCGTCTCATCGTATCCCACCTCTGACTTCTCAGAAGGGGCGCGTGCAGGCAATTGAGTGGGACGCAGAACTTGAGGAAATGAGTCGCGAAAAAGCCGCTGCAGATGCAAGTCGAGGTGATTTCCAAGTAAATCATAACTCGAATGTAAGAGACTGAATGTGGTTGATAGATCTGAAGGCGCGATTCCGTGCGAAGTCGGAGAAGTTCAAAGTAAAGCCTCTGTTTTCACGCGATACAAAACAAGGTAGAGTCCTCTTATCTGTGAACATGATCTTATTGACAAGTACGTATCGGCCAGGGGATAACTATTCTGAGGCGCCAGCTCTTCCTAATGACACGCCGAGGAAGGCGCCCAAAGTGGAGATGGAAGATTTTCTTGACGATCTTCTCAGCTAATGACCTGTATCTTGCGCATGACACTCCTGTTCACGGGTATTTGCACGTTGATTCTCTTTTCGCTCCAAGTATATGTCTACATGGTCAAAGGCTGAATGGCCTCAGAAGGTCGTCAACGCGTCAACATCCATCATCGGCGCCGACTTTTCCACATCCATGTCCTGAATCCAGACGTGGCGGAGACTGGTGGCCACGTCAACAAGCTTCACGGTTGAGCTCAGCCCGGATGATGTCAATGCTCCCGCATTTGCGGGTCGTTCATTCGTGCTGTCATTGACTGATATCATAATTGGCCATCTACTTATAATAAATAGCCCAAAGACAAGAGATGGTACACTAACCTATCGCCATGGATAAAGGGAAGACGATTGAAGAAAGACGAAAGAGACGATCGGAGAAAGAACGTGTGGTGAGTAAGTATCTGAAACTACATTTATGCAGTGATTTGACCGGGTGATGAAGCATCTCGGAAGGATCAACAAAATGTACACCGAGATCGGAAGAAACCGACCCGGGTGCAACAAGTACAGGGTAAATACTTGAAGAACGTAGCATCAATATCATATCCCAGGACAAAGGGAATGACTCACGATAACGTTTCGAGGGGCCGAAACAGCCTTGGACTAAAGGAATGGAAATGGTAGAGCATGTTGAGAAATCTGAGCCATCATCAGTGGGGCGAAAGGACTACTGTGAGGCGAATCTACTTACAGATGGCCTTACGAGATCACACAATAAGTCCCCGTTGACCAGTAACAGTCTTGATCCAGAGGTACGGATGTTTTCTCGTCACCCTCACCATAGTGACTCGGGGATGATAACATCATATCTTCTAGATGGAAGCAGTCCATGTTGTGTCGTAGTATGTCTTGATTTCTGAGCAAGCAGATAGGCTAATTTAAAGGCGATGCGAGGATATATCTGCGCGGGAGCTTCCGCGTAGTGTCAAAGTAGTTGGTGTCGAGTAAATTATGGTACCCATAATCATCCGACCTTATATATCTTGCCCGTAAGTTATCCACAAGCATTGTCCTTTCACGATTCGACTAGTGATTACATAATACAAGTGGCTAGAATTCAAACACCGCTCCTTTGTTGTACTCTGTAATTAGTATTATTATTATTATTATTATTCAGATAGACTTGGCATTGTGATCCACTGTCATTGATGTAATGACTTTAAAAGGGCCAGCTGTATAGAGATTTTAGCTCAATCATCCTCGTGAACTACTAACCCCAAACACTTCCAGTCATTGCGCCGTTGACTCTCACAGACTGCTCTAACTTCACACTTCGCTCTTCGCTCTTCGTAAAACCCTCTTACTGCTATTCATTCCATGGACGCATTCACATCTATCACCTCGCAGCTTTATCCATTGATAACAATACTGAGGAATGATGATCTCCCGGGGCATTCCGACGGACTCCCCGTTGACCATGAGTACGCTCACTCAATGTCAACTTCTGTTGGACTTTGTGTCATTGCTTGATGTCGATCATCGACATAATGTTGCTTGTGTGACAATGTAAGCCCCCTTCTTTCATTGCTTGCCGATCAATACTGAAGCGTACCTTGACAGTCACAAGATTCGTCGAGGGCCTCCAGAGCCTCCGACTGTCGACTATTCATACTTCTCTTACCATCAATCTCGTGTACCGTCCACTCTTTCGCCGTTATTTTCGGTTTCGTTTGGTACACGTAGTCGAGTTATGGTTTTTGCTCTGTTCCCATTTGTGCCGAATTACTACTTCGTGCCAATCCCAGCCTGTTTCATGTCCATTGGTCACTAAGTGGGGTGCTACTGTGTTGTGCAAAACTTGAGAGATGTAGCATGTAGCACGTAGCTTGATTTACTGTCCTCACCTTTAGTGATTTGGGCATCTTCCGCAATTAAAGTGAAGTTTGGAACCATGAACCGAATTCAAGCCTAAGTAAGCAAGTGTTCTCAACCGTGCCTGCTTAGGGGACTTACATTGTCACTTGGGTATTCAAAACCGCTGAGACTGGGGCTGCGAGGTTGCCGGTCTGCCGTCGAACATCAGGTCTATGTTGGTCTATTGAACAATGAACGATAAATCTGATCCGACCAAAAACTGTGAAAGCAGAGCGTGCGGGATCAATCGATCATTGATCATCAACTATCAATCAAGGCCATCGTATCTCTCGATCAGCATCAAGCAAGTATCACGCAGAAAGGATTAGATGCCCTGTCAATTCCAAAAATCAAACGAACAAAGGAGCAGAGTTTACCACAATTAGAGACTGTTCGTCATTGTTCGATCAATGGAGCTGCATGTTATAAGTGATTTGTCGAGTGCCTTGAAAGTCTTGCATTATTCTGCTAGAACCATGCCGACCTCTGCCAAAAGAGCCTCATCTTATCATGATCCATATCTTCATGCAGGGTGGACAGCTTGTAGCGGTCGCTACCAAGCGTTAGTGCGTAATATACTTTTGCACACAGTCTGCCGTCATCCGTTCAGAACCGTTCTATAGTAACACATGGTTCGTGTTTCAGGCACGGCATCAAAGGTTAAAACTTTAATGTGTAGTGTCGGGAATCGCCTGATTGTAGCCACGGTGAGCACGTCGGGTTGGTCTAGTTCCATGGTCAGCCGACATGCTGATCACGAAAAAAAACGATCCCGATTTTGATGCGGCCACCAATTAAACACGGAACTGGCTGCATACCTTGTCTCTGTGCCACGTCAATCGGAAACAGCGAAACCTTCAATACCTTGGTGTCTGGAGCGAACTGTTGACACCATTCCATTGTTACACGGATATACTGATAAATTTCATAGAACAAGATTGCGCGCAACTAGGCTGCGGCTCTCGATACAATGAGGTTGGCAGGCATGTCGTGTGTCATACCACATAAAAAGAGCTATGCCACGAGCTTAGTGCAACAAAGAGCACTACAGTGTCATGGGCAAGAAACCTATGGAATTGGAAAGGTGCAGTGAACTTACCAGGTGCTATCCGATAGCCAAGTTGTTAGTGGTCCTTCATCACATAGCGTGAGCCATAAAGCTAGTTACTGACGGGATGATGGGATCAGGAACAGAGAAGCGTGCGGTACTGACGCCACCTGAGGAAGGTAATTTATACAAAAACGACCGACAAAGGGAAGAAAAACAAACAAGCAGACAAAGCGAGAGAAACCACAATGAGACGTCATTCGCCATACATACAAAAGATTTGGCGCAAAGTATTTTCAAAAGCCATCACTTCATAGTGGCGGGAATTTGGCAGGGTGAAACCTAGTTCCAAGTCAAACGTTCTGGATAGGGAATTGAAACCAATACCACTGACATTTCGTGACTCGACATAGGCCTCGTCTATCGAAACTCTCCAGAGGTCTAGGGATCGGAAGAATTCAAAAGATGTCTTAGAAGTCTGTCAGGTTCAAGACCAAGTGAGGACGAAGCTTCACTGACTCACTTGTTGAAACGTTGATATCTCAGCAAAAAAAACGAGGTCAATCCGGAAGACTGTCACAGACTGGAGAGGTAGGAGAGTAAGGCTACTTTTTGGACCACGACTCAGCCCGTTTCAGTCGAACAGAGACTTAGAATGCAGAAATGGTTAATGAGCTTGGACGTATCTAACACAGGATGACGGTCATAACGCAGTACTTGGTGAAGTTTGGGTTGTCGTGGGAAGCCTTCGAACATTCCCACATCTGCAGGGAAATTCCTATGCTGGCGCTGATGAGTCTGCATTGGAGAACATTCAGGAAATGACTCCAGGGTTAATCTACATATATCTGGAGCCAAAATATAGGGTCGGTCTGGAGCTTTGGCGACAGGCTTCGGGTGTTGATACACTGGGTGCAGGATCTATCTTTTCTGGCAGAAAAATGGTAAAAAAATTAAATGAAAAGGGCAAAAATTGTCTTCCATTTGTTCTAACAAAACATTATAAAAAAACATCATAATTGTTCTCTGAATTATCTATGATACAAATTGTGTACAAATTAAAATTTTGTGCCTTCAATTTCTTCATGATCTGTCACATCAAAATGGTAAATTAATGTTCACATTTGTTGTCAAACAAAAAACTGGACAAATTGAAAGCAATATGGATTATCATTTTTTTTAAAAGTATATCAGAAAAATTGAATAGGGAAATCAAAACTTTGTTTATCATTTGTCTGGTGGAAAAAAGTGGACAAAATCAGGACTGTAGAACCATTTAAATTTTTCCTAACATGGTCTGACAAACAAATCAGAACAACATTGTGACCTTGTGTCACAGTAAATATCAGATTTTTTCAATGGGAATACAAGAGACAAATTGAAAGTAGAATATCACAATTTGTCCAACATGTGTATATGAATAAAAAATCAAGAAAAATCAGAACATATAAGTGTGAAACAGCAAGGGTCCTTGGGTATAGCTTTGACTGAATGATTATGAGAAAGCAGGCACAGAAGAGAGTGGTGTTGAGAGCTGATAGGTGGCTAATGTGAGCAAAAGAAGGAGTATGAGGGATTGAATGAGTGGTGGTATGAACAAGTAGCTGTTATGACAGTTTTTGGTATGGCGAACAGAAAATGAGTAGTAGTAATGAGAGAAAGGGTTTGATTGGACTATCAGACCAACTCAGGAGTGACTCAGGAGTGACTCGGGACCTAGTCAGACTATCAGATTAACTCAGGACTAACTTGGGACCTAGTCAAACATTTGGACTAACTAACTTGAGATTTAATCAGACTAACTCGGGACTTAGTCAAACATTCTGACCAACTTGAGACTTAGTCAGACTAACTTGGGACTAACTTTAGGATCTAGTCAGACTATCAGACTAACTGGGGACATAGTCAAACATTCAGACTAACTCCAAACTTAGTCAGACTAACTTGGGACTTGGTCAGACTAACACGGGACTTAGTCAGACTAATGCAGGACTTAGTCAGACTAACTCGGGACCTAGTCAAACATTCAGACAAATGTGGGACTTAGTCAGACTAACTCAAAACTTAGTCAGACTACTGCAGGACTTAGTCAGACTAACTCGGGACTTAGTCGGACTACCTACCATGGGACTTAGTCAGACTAATGTGGGACCTAGTCAAACATTCAGACTAACTCAAAACTTAGTCAGACTAACACAGGACTTAGTCAGACTAATGCAGGACTTAGTCAGACTAATTCAGGACCTATTCAAACATTCAGACTAACTCAAAACTTAGTCAGACTAACACGGGACTTGGTCAGACTCACTCAGGACCTAGTCAAACATTCAGACTAACTTGGGACTAACTTCAGGATCTAGTCAGACTAACACAGGTCTTAGTCAGACTAACTTGGGACCTAGTCAAACATTCAGACCAACTCAAAACTTAGTCAGACTAACATGGGACTTAGTCAGACTACCACAGGACTTACTCAGACTAACTCAGGACCTAGTCAAATATTCAGACTAACTCGAAACTTAGTCAGACTCACTCAGGACTAACTTCAGGATCTAGATCGTGAGCTTCTTATCTTATATATGAGCTGGGAGCAGATTAAGATGGGGGTGTAGACAGGAATGTAGGTTCACATTGCACTACTACACTACAGCTGTCCCACCTCAACCGCCCTCCAACAGGTCATGTGACCTTGGGAACTTGTGTATATACCTACTGTATATGATACCTACTGAGAAGCATCCTTCCTCCCAATTCCACAGCACCAGAGCAGACTGGGCAATAATCAGCAAGAGCGAAGGGTACAGATGGGAATGCACTGGAAGTAGAAGGGAAAATGGCTGTTAACTTTGTTGTAAACATGCATAGTGTTTCATTGTTACATTTATTGTCTTGTTTTTGATTAATATACTAGTCCATGTGTTCCAATTCTACTTACTTTATAGGTACAGGGAGACTCATAACTGGTAATCCCTGGGGTGTCAGAGACCTTACCCACACCTGCACCCTGAGGTATACCTGCACCCCCACAAAGGGTATGGGTTGTTTGGGGGTATTGTTACGCTCGGTGTTGTTTAGACGTCTTAACGTTTCAAGGATCAAAGTCAAAGTCAATGTTCTGATGAAGATGAAGCTAGATTGCAGGCCCTGGTCTGCGTAGGTCAAGTTAAAGATACAAAGCGTAAAGAGTGAGGTATATATAGGGGTATTGAAGTGGAGCTTGAATATGAATAGCGAATAGGAAAAAGAGAAAGAGAATTGTACAATAGAATGTAATAGAATACTATGGAATGATGAGTAAGCATATGTGACAACGTGAAGAGGTGAAAAGATAGAACTGTAACAGGTATGGCAAGCTCGTACCCTTACCCATACCTATGCAGGGTGTTATGACTGGGATAAGTTGAGCTGTCTGAGTCTGAACGGACATTCTGCTAATAGCAAGATGGACATGGTTCTTCTCTCTAATGAGAGGTCAAGGTTTCTGGCTAAGGCAAGTGTAGGCGACTCCCTTAGAATAGTGGGTTCTTAGATAGTAAGATTGGAGACCTTACTAAAGGACAAGTTCCAGGTAAAACCCAGTAGATTAAAGTGAGGAATACAATGTGGTAGGCTACACGTATATATAGTGAATGTTCAAGCGGAGCTCATAAATGGTTATCAAGATAAAGAGACATGAGGCAGACAGCCCGCTTGATAAGAGATAATGGATAGCAAACATAGTGCAGACAGCCTGCTTGGAAGATAAGAGATAGCAATCATGCGCAGACAGCCCACTTATGTAAGTGACAAAGAGAAATGAAATAGGGGTCTAAATGTTATTGTAACATTACCCCGTTATTATGGTCAAAGTCACCGACTATGACTTTTAATTGTCCATGTTGTCGTAGTAGCAGGGGTCAGCTTCCGTGTTGTGAAAGAGGATGTCCTCTTCAGCAGAGCATCTGTGCTGTACTGTATACTCATGGTGGGCACATTCTAGCTCTTCCTCAAGCTTCTGGTCCTCCCTAGCTTCCCATTCAGCCAAGGCATCATAAAACCCTTCGTCAGTGTAGACCAATGGAAACTCCTCTTTCTTCGGAGCATACGGGCAGTAGATAGAAAAATGGCCAGGTGCTTGGGCCTGGCATACACAGCAGTGGTATTGTGGACAGTTCTTGTGATGATGTCCAAGCACCTTGCATTGGCGGCAGACAAAATTGTCCGTGGAGAGGTTGGGTTGTTTTATCGTGATGGTAGAGGAGGAAGGGTCAGTGAGGTTGATTACCTTGCGTTTCTTTCCTTTAGAGGACTTGGCTTTAGTCACTCCGTGGACGACTGCTCCTTTGTGGGTTTTTCTGGTGTAGATTTTGTTTGGTGGGGGAAGGGGTAAGGGTTGAGAATTTTCTCTAGGTGGACTTGGAGCAGGTACATCAATGGTGGTAACGCTAGTAACAGCGCTTGGCAGGCGACTGACTTGGGTCGTGTTTCATTCTGCAACAACTTGTATAACTGTTTTGCAGACGTCACTAAAAGAACCAGGAAGAAGCTGAATCATGAGAGAGTGAATGCGTCTCTGGATGTGTTGGCAGGATAGTTTGAGGGCATCATCTTCGATTTCATTGAGTTTGAGCTCTAACTTGGCAGTGCTGCGTATGATATGGATTTGGGATAGGATGGGGGTGGTGATATGCGCAGGTTCTTTGGCTAGCTGGTTCTCTATTTCTTCTGTGTGAGGGAGAGACAGGAGAGTGGTTTCGACAATGATGTTGTCTTCGATGTTGATAATGTTTTGTTTGTAGAATGTGTCACGTAGGGAGAGGTGGTAGACATTGGAATCAGTGGGCGATGGTGTTTGGGGAGGAGACATGCTTTGGTTGATAGGGTAGGAGTGAATAATTATCAGTCCAGCCTGTGTCTCTTTTTATAGGCATCTAGGAGTGCTTTAGAACTCCGCAGGTTATCTTCAGGAATCTATTCATTAGAGCCCCTTCAGTGACAAATTCCATATTATAGATAGCTGGGCTGAAGAGAGATGTAAGGCAAATATTGTTATATAGATGGGTGGGCCGACAGGGGTGTATTACATATATGGGTGGGCCAAGGTAGGGGAATATTACATAGATGGGTGGGCTGACATGGGGTGTATTACATATACAGGTGGGCCGACATGGAAAGTATTACATATATGGGTGGGCCGACGAAAGGGATATCAAATAGATGGATGGGCCAAGGGTGTGATAAAATATTTATTACATAGACAGGTGGGCCGAGGTGAGGTATAATTATAGAGACGGGTGGGCCGACGTGGGGGATAATACATAGATGGGTGGGCAGATGTGGGGGAATTATACATAGATGGGTACATATATGGGTGAGCCTAGATATGTTTCATCAAGACATACAGCTGATGTAGCCACCAGCGAATCAAACACATAGGATACATGTACACTATGAGTGCATATACCTACCATCGACCACCAAATCTAAACCCCTAAGCACGAAAACATGAATCGACCATGTGTGGCATTGACCAATAATCGAGGACTGAAATGGAAAAACACCACACCTGAACCCTGGTGTGCAACATATCCTATTTGTAAGCATGGACACCAGAAGCACAACACTCACAAAAATATAAATGTCAAATCAGTGCCAAACCGCAAACCGAGATTTACCAACCCTGAACCCTGAAAGTGTGGACTGCTGGGTCTCGGGGGTCCCGGAACTCGGAACTTGGGAACTTTGGGGAGATAAAGAAAATTTGATTTACAATCGAGGTGATTGACAAATACATTGACGTACCCATGTTTGAAATATATGTGTTGTCTCACATACCGAGTTCCAAGTTCTGGGACCCCCGAACCCTGAACCCCGAAACCTGAGACCTGGCAGTCCACAATTTCAGGGTTCAGGGGTTGGTAAGATGTGTATGGATATATGAAAGGTCGATTTAAACATTTTTGAAAGATCTCACATATCAAATGTCAAGTCCCAAGTTTCGATTTCCAGGTTTTGGGAGTGCCGACACATTTTACCAACCCCTGAACCCTGAAATTGTGGACTGCTGGGTCTCAGGTTTGGGGGTTTGGGGGTCCCAGAACTCGGAACTCGGTATGTGAGACAACACATATATTTCAAACATGGGTATGTCAATGTATTTGTCAATCACCTCGATTGTAAATCAAATTTTCTTTTATCTCCCCAAAGTTCCCAAGTTCTGAGTTCTGAGTTCTGAGTTCTGGGACCCCCGAACCCTGAACCCCAAAACCCGAGACCCAGCAGTCCACAATTTTGGGGTTTGGGGGTTAGTAAAATGTTTATAGATATCCGTAGGTTACATTAAACATGTCTGAAAAATGTCGTTCATTTTAAATGTCAAATCCTGAGTTCCAGGTTTACCAGGTCTCGTGGTTCAGGGTTCAGGGGTCCCGGAACTCGGAACTCGGTATGTGAGACAACAAATATATTTCATATGTGTAAGTCAATGTGTTTGTCAATCACCTCGATTGTAAATCAAATTTTATTGATCACCCCAAATTTCCCAAGTTCCGAGTTCCGAGTTCTGGGACCCCCAACCCCCGAACCCCAAGACCCGGCAGCCCACAATTTCGGGGTTCAGGGGTTAGTAAAATGTTTAGATATACGTAGGTTGATAGTTCCGGGTTTCGGGACTCGGCACCCGGCACCCGGCACTCGGGGTTTGGCACTGAAAATTTGACATTTGGGTGTTTGGGATTCGGGTGATATCTACCTCAATCTACAGTTTCGAGTTCTGGATATCGGGACTGATCATTCAATCATTCAATTGTGGCATAGGTAACATGCATTGAAAAAGATTTATGTACATCTATCACTGAGCAATTATGTAGCCATTTCAACCTCCTCACCAGGAAGATCAACCTTTCCCTCAACATCCATCTCCTCATCAGAAGAAGCATATTCTGGCAGGAGGTTACCTGGTTCATTAGGGACCAAAATATTGCCGGAGGATTCTGGCAAGAGGTTGCCTGGTTCATCCAGGAGCACAATTTCACCGGAGGATTGTGGACCCTCAGGCTGAACTTGGGTGGGCTCAACCATAGGACCTACCATAGCAGAACCATCCTCAAGTGTCAAGGGTGTGGGTTCCATCACTGAAATGTCCAAATCAATGAGGTTGGAAAGTGTGGAGGGGAGGGGTGAAATGGATTTCTGGAATGGAGATCCGGCATGGGAACATCGAGTGCTGCACAAGGCACTGCTAAGCTGGAAGACTGAACTACTAAGTAAAAAATTAGGTCAGCCTGTCATCAAAAGTTTTGGTGACTTACGAGCTGGTGCTGGCACAGGTGCAGGTGCAGGTGCAGGTGTCTTCTTGATAGTGATGGTCTTGCTGTGACCACGTGACTGCACCTGGGGTGTAGTTGCAGCAGGGATGGCCGGAGTTTGGCACGGGCCACAAGATTGACTACGAGTTTGGGCCCTTGACCGGAAGGGAGACGGAGCATTGGATGGAGCAGGGGCAGGTGTCTTGGAACGTGTCCGGCCGGTGGTAGACTTCCCTCGGATCCGTTTGGGTGGGGATCCCAGAGATGCAGGGTTGCATTTGATAATCTTGGTGGAGCAGCGGATGCAAGACAAGCAGGGGAGACTGGTCCTCTTGTCCAAACAAGTCGCACAGGGCCAATTCTCCTTGACACAATAATGGCAGGGGTTGTTCTGTGGTATCCATTAGTAGGTGGACTAGAGGGAATTAATTGGAGTACTCACTGGGCTGGGAATGGTGATATCAAATGTGGTATTGGCCGGAGGGTCGCCATCCAAAGTGCTGGAAGTATTGTCAGATGGCTCAATGACTTCCGGACGACTGCCAGAGGTGGCCTGATAGGTTGTAAGTACAGATGTGGGTTCCGGGCAAACTGCTAAGACCTACCGGAGCTTCTGGACGACTGCTGGGGGATTTCTAATGTAATGGGAATGAGTGGAAATGTTACACATGAGTTACAGACATGTCCGGAAGACTCACCATAACCTCCGGATGCCTGCCGGCAGTCAGCTGTGGACTCATGAGCATATATATGAGGTTCGGACGACTAAATCAGACTTACTGAAGGATGTCCCTTGGTATGTTTTATTTTGCTGATTTCAGTCAATTGATCTGACATGGTTTAGATCCATTAGATGATATATACCTTGGGCCGGATGATGAGTTAGACTCTGATTCCGGGTCGTCCAGTGGTTTGGATGTGTTGAATGCAATTCCCGGTATGTTTCTCAATTCAAATGTGCATATTCTACATGTGCAAATTGATCACATACTTCCAGATCCATCATATCTGGCTCTGGCAGATGGACTGGCCCTGTACGATGACCCAGACTTGTATCTTGATCCGGAGGATACCTTGATTTCTTCTTCTGATGCTCCGGCTGTACCTAATTTTCCGATGGCTGGTGAGTTTATCCTTTCCATCTCATGCTCATGTATCATGGCATGTCCCCAGTGAATGACTCAAATCCCGAACCTCATCCGGCCACTCCGGTTGTAGCAAAGGCACCCATACCTTGTAGGTATATTCAGATCATTTCATGTTTTTTATTCATGTTATCTCCCAAGCTAATTCAGAAACTCCCGAATGTCACTCACCTGAGCCGGAACTCAACAATGACTCACTGCGTGCTATGGTTAGGGAGTTCATGCCAATTGGATCTTATGATCAAGCTGAAAGTAAGTATACAACGGTTGATTATTTATCTCCGCTAATTTTCTGCAAGTTCAAACAATTGTAGATTGCCTGGATGATTACCAACAGTGTCATGGAGATCTTCCTGCCCCTACAGTAGCACAACTTCTTGAGGCTGACAGACCATTCAGGATGGCATGGGCTGAAACATGCGACAAACTGCAGAAAGTAGATGCTGATCTCTAGAGGATGCAAAGGGTAAGGGAGTCCACCTCCGAAATGCTGAAGGTATTAGATACCCTGATTGAGTTCTTTGAGGACTCAAGTAACATGTAAATATCAATCAATGTCTGATAGTATACACATTGGAGTATACTTCACCTGCTCAGTACTTAGTACTTGAGATTTCAGATTTGGGATTCAAGATTCAGTCGTTAGTACTTGATACTTGTATACTTTACCTACTCAGTACTTGGTCCTTGGTACTTATATACTCTACCTACTCAGTACTCGCTGCCCGGCTTTCGGTGCTTGGTACTCGGTACTCGGGGTTCGGTACTCAGGCCTTGGTAGTCGAGATTTGGGATTTAGGATTCAAGATTCAGTCGTTAGTACTTTGACATGTACACAATAGCACATATGCGATTACACATGAGGGAAGGAAGATATATCTACATTAAGTGCGTCCCCGTGCTCTGGTTACTCTAGGTGTACTGTCTACTGGCATTTGTAACTTACTCCGGGTCGTCCTGGTGGATGGTTCAACAGTGACTCTCTTGCCTGGCCTCCTTTTCTGTGCCGGCGGCATGATACTCTCTTCCATTTCAACATCATCTCTAACCTCGCCAGTCGTGTCTTCAGTTAACACGACAAGGAAGTCGCCCATTTGTGATGTCAGTAATGCACCTTGTTTGGCCGGGCGAGGCTTTGGAATTGCATGTGGGACTGCCATCCCTTTGGGTGTAGGACCTCCCATCCTGGGTTTCTTCAGCGGATGTCTCCCGTCAGCCACATCATCATCCACATCATCCTCAGTATGATTGGTGGCACTCTCCATATCACTCTCAGCTTCTGTCGACGAGTCCCGAGGTCTTCGGATGGTAACCCTCTGCTGCTTTCTCACTATACGAGTCTGAGGAGAGGGCGACTTGCCAGATATGACAGATGGTACCATGTCCCCATCTTTGTTCTTCCATGCTTTGAACAGAAATGTGGAACCTTCTCCTGTTTCCTGCCGAGCACACCAAAAATGGAGCAAGGCAGTCGTGTCCCAATTTTGCAGCTTCGAAGGCTCCTTCAAGTCAACATCTGCCGGAAGATATGTCCAGGCCACGAAGTCATCCTGACTGTGTAAGATGGCACTCCATGGCACAACAGCCTTGTCCTTCCCGGAACATATCCCTGTGTCTATGCATTGAACAATTTGTCAGATGATTGGATGAGAAACTCACGATAGTGTGATGTAAGAAAGGCCCTCACTATGGCCTTCTTCTCCTCAAGTTTCGTGTCGGTGATGTCGGGAAGGAGCGGCATACCCTCCCGGTCCATTTCGAGTTCAAAAGTTGGTTTTCGAATTCTTTTTCAACTTCCCTTGACCTGATGTCCTCCATCCCGTGCCCCGGCACCTATCATGGTGATGCTCAACATGTTCAATCTGGTATACATGGTTCAAACACTCACTGAACTGTTCCTGCATGTACTCCTGCCACACTGGCTCAATGTCCTCCCAGTCCTTTGTCTTCATGAAGCTGTCCTCATCTCCTAAGGCCTCGTTATCATCATGCCTGCATGAATATTTTGAGATGAAAGATCTGTGTCAATGGATAAATGTACTCACATCCTGAACAGCACCTCGCCCTTTTCATTCTTCCAAGCCGACATCACAAAAACTCTCATCCTACATTGCCTCCACATCTTGTTTGAAAAGTGCTCCATATATGCCGGACCCTTCTTATGAGCCACTTGTGCTTGTATCTCCGGAGGTGGACAGTTGTTGGACCACTCCTTCACTGTTTCTTTCGCTTTCTCCAACTCATTGTCGTCCAATTCAGCCATGACTCTCTTCACTGCCACCTGATAATATTTGAACATACCAGGATCTCCTGGCTTTACCACAGACTCGTCCTCAATCATCTTCAGCACCTCTTGGTGTTTCTGCTGGTACACCACCATCCTGGGAGTCCATTTCCTCCCATACTTGATCATGTCCTTCCTTTCCTTCTTTTTCTTGTTGTTGAACAACCAAGTCTTGTACACCTAAGAGTTGATGAAAGCATGTGATGTTGAAAATTTAGTTTTTCAACACAATAAAGACACCTCACCTGCTTCCTCTTTTTCCATTGTTTTTGGTCCAACTTAGGAGCAAACAACCTGGCTGCCCTTGCTATGGCAGTGAAAATTGCTCATCTCTCACTCCTTTTGGCAGCAGTCCACTCAGGAAGGTAGTTCTTCAACTCCAAAATCTCCTTGTCCGTGAGCTTCTGCGACTGTGGTTGACGGACCCCGTGTCTTCCAGAAGTCGTGTTGATGGAATGACCTGTTCTTGCCATAGTGAATCAGAATGCAGAAAGGGCTAATGATTTGCAAGGTAGAAGTATTAATGAATTGTGCGAAGTTGAACTTCGAGCAAAGCCTAATGATGGGTTAATTGGCCCATATTGGAAGAGAAGCCATTAATGGAAATGAATTTGTAATGAGCCAACAGGACTGCACAGCATCATATTGCAATAACAATTCATTACACCTGAGCTGATGCCTTGCTTGCAACATTAGTAAACAAGATGAAGATAGGTAGATGCACCCCAGTACAAAAATCTCACAGGGTAGAAGCAAGGGGCAGCAAAGGTAGGAAGACTTGGGTAAAGGTCCCACTTGCAAGTACGAGGTGACATGCCTACAGGTCCATGCCTAACTCTCCCCCAGAATCACTAACAATTCAGCCTGTTGAGGCACCACCTCCTTGGGAAGACTTTCCTGACAATACTTATGAGTAGGACCAAGGCTAATTTGAGCCTTTGCAACTCTCAAAAACCATGGCAAGTTCATGAACAATGTTAGAGTGTCATTCAAACTATGGCTAAGCATTCAAAAATACAGAGTCAAAATGACTACCTCAGGCAATGGCTGCCAAGGCAGGAATCATATCTACATCACCTCCTCAATCGAGAAGCTCCACCAGAAGACAGGAGATGCATCATCTGCGAATAGGATGGGGTATACAAATGTCAAAATTGTCTTGGCGAGCCACTCTATTGCATGGGCTGTTGCAGGAGTCAACATCATAGCAATCCTTTCCACTGGATCAGTCAATGGAATGGGCGATTCTTTGAGCGGAGTTGTCTTGCTCATGTGGGACTCAGCATACACCTTGGCCATGATGGCAAACAATGTCCGGCAGTCACCGATCAGTGGAATTTGTTCGAAGAAGATGAACCTGAAGACCTGCTCGAGCCTGAAGATCTGCCATTTGTGTCCAGACCCGAGTTCCAGCCGAAGGAAAACACCATGGTCATCATCGACAGGTCCGGAGTTCATTGCCTGGAGGTTCGATGCTGTGAATGTCCAAATGCCATGAGTCCGGACATTCAAATGTTTCGACACAGATTTTTCCCTGCATCTTTCAACAGGCCAAAGACTGTGTTCACCTTCAGAGTGCTTGATGATTTTCTACTGGACAGCCTTGAATGTGGCACCTCGGCGATGAACTATTACAGCAAGCTCTGGCGAATGACCTCGAGCATGTTTCCACACCTTGTTCTGGTAATGCCTTACCCTCTTCATCTACTGGACATCATATTGACAAAGCACATTGCAAGGACCGATACAGAGAGCTCATGAGGGTCGCTCGACAGTGGAGGCAGTTGAAGACAATGAAATGGCATGGCTTCGGCCATCATTCTGATAACCCAAGCACAGGAGAACTCGCATTATTTTGCCCGGCATGTCCTCAGCCTGGGATTAATGTGCTGTTGTCAGAGGATGAATCGCTTGATGAGTGAGTCCTATTCTCAACTAATGTGGCCTCCACAATAATGCTAGCGATCCAAGCTGGAAATACACCCGGTCATTTGTGATGGACAGAAATTTCAAAGTGAAACATCTGCATCCCATTAAGCCATTTGATGAAGTTTGGCTGTCCGATGGGTTTGGATTCATGGTAGGAAAGGACAGGTATAAAATGCATCTGGCAGAGGCTGCTGACATGGTGGAAAAATCAAGCTGCAACAACCACCGGGCAGTAAATGAAGCTAATGCTGCTCGGCACAAGCTGGAGTCCACCAGTATCAGGGGAGTTGCCTGTGCCCGACACGGTTGCTTTGTCCCTCACTCCATGGTGGATTTTCAGAAAGGCGAAAGGCAAGCCACATTGACCATTCCTCATTCACGAGTTAACCATGGTTCGCTTGCAGACAAATGAACATGGACTACGCCCTTTGCGAGGCTTCCCGGCACAACATGGAAGGCATCACCAGGGCTGTCACCTTCTATGATATTAATTGTCAATACAACAAACACTTTCGGGTTCGGGTGGATCGAAGTTGATTTCTAGAAATGGCACCACAACTAACCATCATTCCCGGAATTGGGTTGTGGCACATTCATGGCCATCAGGACAGCTGCTATGTCCGATATGCTTCTAACTTTATTGAAGGCATTGGTCGGATCAATGGAGAGATCATGGAGATGCTATGGGCACGGCTCAATCTGATCTCCCCTGCTGCTCGTGGAATGTCATCTCCACACCGAAAGGAATGCCTTGATTATCAGATGAATGACTCCAATTTCTGCAAGATGATTCGCATGAAAAGGACTCTATGCCAGAAATACAAGCTGGTGAGGAATGGCATCTCGGAAAGTGGAAAGGCATTCGACAGACTCAATGAAGCAGCACCCTCACATTTGAAGACAGAATGGTTAGCCAGGGAGAGGATAGCTCAGTCAAGCAGATTGAATGATCCTTCGGCGATGGATGAATATGAGATCAATATCAAAAAGGGTATGTTGAGCTCCATTGTCTCCATCGAGGTCTGAATTAATATTGCACTCAGCACCTAGCAAAAAGGAGATTGAGCTTAGATTATTAGAGGAGGGTAACACACACAATGCAGCACCCTCTCGCAGATCTGTGGCGACGTGGATATCAACAGGGTCAGCAATTGAAGAGGCTCAGATTGCATTGCTCATCGAGGTCCGAAGGATCGGAAGAAGATCCACTGAGACACAGAGATTAGACATCACCCGTCAACGAGATTGGCTCCAAGGCCAGATAGATGGATTTGCTCGGTCTGCTCTAACACATCTTGGGGAGGGATTTGATGCAGATGATGAACCTGAGGACTTGAACATAGACATTCTCGATGATCTCGATGATGACCCGGTGGATTTCACAGAGACATCTCATACATGGACAAACTCTCCTGGGCTCACTGTAATCCTGTTGCCATCGAACCTGGGGGTTGATAGATGCAGACAATGCATGACAGAGGATCTGATTCCATGCCAGAAGGCAATCCCAAATGTATTCATTGCTTGCACAGGATGCGCAGGCAGCTTTTCAAGACCTACAAAATGTGTTGATAGAGGCCGGAGATGAATGAACATTGTTTTCTCATGAAGTCCCTTTTTCCACATACATAATTGAGGCCCAGGAATTGTCCGGGTCAGCCCATGTCGGAGTTTGAATTTCGTATCCATCCATCAGTGATTCTTATCTTTACATCTTCACCATCTTTCACTTGCATTGCCAGCACCATAGTCCTGTATTAGCCATGCCTGCAACTCCTGCATCCACTTCTGGCACTTTGAATGCTGGAAGCCATTACCAACTCCTGAAGCTGAGCCTTGCAACTATTTCCTGCACATTGGCAATGGCTGGATCGCGCATCTGTGCATGCATCTCTCAATATCAGACTGAAACTGCCAGCAATGGTGTACCTTCTGACCAGATCAAGTATTTTAAAGCCAGGCTGCAATGGGAGATGAATGTATGTGACCACTGCCCTGATGACTGTGTTGGTCCATGCTAAGAATTTGAGCAGACTTTTGTCACACCACTCCTGCAGTACTCCGCTTCAGAGAATATTGTGTCAGTTCTTCCGGTCCCTGTCGCTTATATCTTTCAGTTGTATCCCATGCTAACCTGGAACATGGTTCCAGACGACGTCTTTTCATTCCACCTCCTTTCATTTGATGATGAGGCAATTGCAGGACATCTGTGTTTGCATATACATGTCCATGGTGGATGGGAAACTCCAGAATCCCAGATCAACCATGGCAGTGGGATGAAATAATGGCCTCCTGTGTCTCTCACTACCAGTATTGGGTGGTAAGATGTTAGCTGAATTGCCTTGATTGATGACTTATCTGTTCTAGCTTAATGTTGAGGATGACTCTTTGGTTCTTCCAGAGAAGTTGAAAAACACTTCGAGTCCACCACTGATGGGACTGAGGTGGATTAAAGAACACATGGAAGTATTGATTGAGGAGCAAGATGAGGGCATCCAAGCCAAGATGGCAGAGGTGAAGATGTACACTGACATGTTAGAGAAATTGAGGAAAGGCAAAGGAGTGTAGTCCCATTCAGTCTTCATTGTATACATGATGTAAAATAGTCTATGCATTCAAAAATCTTGCATCCAAGTCCAGGAAGCAGGGGTCCCGAGTCCCGAATTTTGGAGTCTGGGGCTCGGCAACCCGGAGCTTGGCAACTGTGTTGGGTGTCAGGGTATCCGGAGTATTGGAGATCACATGTGTCAGTCTTCATTGTATACAAGATGTAAAATATTCTATGCATTCAAAAATCTTGCATCCAAGTCCCGGAAGCCGAGGTCCCAAGTCCTGAATTTCAGAGTCCGGGGTTCGGCGACCTGGAGCTTGGCAACTGTGTTGGGTGTCAGGGTATCCAGAGCATTGGAGATCACATTTGTCAGTTTTTTGTGTTTCATGGTTCATGTTTGGTGATTATGGAATCAGGCATCAGGGACTTGGTATTCAGAACAATGTCGAGTCCCAAGTCCCGAGTCCTGAGTCCCGAGCTCCGAGCTCTGAGTCCCAAGCTCCGAAACCCCCATGCGGGACTCGGGACTCGGAGCTCGGGACTCAACACTTTTCTGAATACTGAGTCCCTGTATTTTGGGACTCGGGACTCAAAGATCAGAGCTCGGAGCTCAGGACTCGGGACTCAACATTGTTCTGCATACTGAGTCCCTGATGCCTGATTCCATAATCACCAAACATGAACCATGAAACACAAAAAACTGACAAATGTGATCTCCAATGCTCTGGATACCCTGACACCCAACACAGTTGCCGAGCTCCGGGTCACTGAACCCCAAACCCTGAAATTCAGGACTCGGGACCTCAGCTTCTGGGACTCAGATGTGAGATTTTTGAATGCATAGAATATTTTACATCTTGTATACAATGAAGACTGACACATGTGATCTCCAATGCTCCGGATACCCTGACACCCGACACAGTTGCTGAGATGCGGGTCGCTGAGCCCTGGACTCCGAAATTCGAGACTTGGGACCTCGGCTTCTGGGACTCAGTATTCAGAATAGTGTCGAGTCCCGAGTCCACAATGTCAGGGTTCAGGGTTCTGTCAAATGTGTACGGCAATAACAGATGTCAATTTGAGCATATTTATACATTTTCTCCCAGTCTCAAATATCAAGTGTGGAGTTCCAGGTTTCAGGACTCAGTACCCCGGCACTCGGGACTCCCATATGTCAAGTCCCAAGTTCCAATTATCAAATATCAAGGTTCGCATCCAAATTATTCCACATAGTACAGTAACTTATACCCGTATTAGACGGACAGCTGAGGGTGACAATGTAGCAATAGAGGCAGGCCAGCCCATGTGGGCCCATGGCAACAATTGTACCATGGTAGACGAGTGGGCTGCAGGGTTGTGTGTACCTGTTGCAAACGGATGGGCCGGTGGTATGTAGTGTAGATGGTAGTATAGGAATGTACTATATAGGATATCTATGTAAATAGTAGTGAATGCAATGAGCTATAGAGATGAGTGGGCCGGCTGAATGGTGTGCAATGTAAATGAGTGGGCCAGGGAGATGGGTATGATGGGGACAAGTGGGCCGGGGGTATGAAGTGCAATGGAGACGGGTGGGCCGGTATGCGAAGTACAATAGAGACGGGTGGGCTGGGATGAGAAGTACAATTGAAGATGAGTGGGCCGGGGGTATGGGGTGCAATGGAGACGGGTTGGCTGGTATGCGAAGGACAATAGAGACGAGTGGGCCGGGGGTAAGGGTGCAATGGAGAAGAGTGGGCCGGTATTTGAAGCACAATGGAAGACGAGTGGGCCGGGGGTACTGGGTGAAATGGAGACAGGTGGGCCTCATGACATTCCACCCGGTGGATAATGGAAATATTTGCCAGTATGGATGATACAGATGAGCCAGAAGAGCGTTGTGGGACAGAGGTGAAGGTGAGATGGATGATACAGATGAGCCAGAAGAGCGTTGTGGGACAGAGGTGAAGGTGAGATGGATGATACAGATGAGCCGGACTTCCAGTGTGCGAGAGGTGAAGGTGAAATGTATGATACAGATGAGCCGGATGTCGGCTGTCCGATAGAGGTGAAGGTGAAATGGATGATACAGATGTGCCGGACCTCCGGTGTGCAAGAGGTGAAGGCGAGATGGATAATACAGATGAGCCGGACGTCCGCTGTGTGATTGAGTGAAATGGATGATACACATGAGCCAGAAGTGCGTTGTGTGATATACGATGATGGAAATACCATCCAGTATAGCAACATTCTCACTACTAAAATGCAGGTTGTGCGATTATATGATGCATTGTCTTCAACATTGAAAGCACCAGAGCTTGACAACACAATGTAGACAACTAGTACATACAAAAACATGAATGATATAGACTAGTATTATGTCGGCCCGTCACCGGAAGGCTTGCTTGGATACCTAGCACTCACTGACCGACCTTGGTGCGATAGAGGTCCAAAGTGCGGGCATGGCAAAGGAGCTGAGATGGACTGGGCATCAGCCGGCACATTTGATGGCCCGGCAACCAGGAGAATAGGAGATTGCACAGGTGGTGCACCAACCGGAGGAACAGATGGGCCGGATTCCCTCATGGTCAGTGAAGGGATGATGGTGGAATTGGATGGCACCCGGTTGTGCCTTGCGACCAGTGATCCATCTGCAGTATCACCCAACATATCACCACCGGTCTGGGCACCCATCCAAGAGACATCCGGAGTGAACACATTGTTGGTCACAGTGCGAGCAAATGCACTGATAGATGGGTCATGGGCTGTCATGGGGGGTGGATTAAATGCCAGTGGAGTTGATGCTGTGACCTGAGTAGATCTTTGCTCCCTCAGATACCTGACAATACCTCTTACTTCAGCCGTGCACTCAGCAAGGAGTCCCTTCTGCACACGCATATCCCGCCCTATGTCATCAATCTGCATGGACATGGCGCTATCAGATGCCTCGGCGATGTCCTTGCGATTCTCCAAGCGATCATGCCGGACGTCAATTTCCATTCGATCGTGTGTGCGCAGTTCCTCCATCTCAATGCGAATTTGGGCCAACATGGCCTCCATCTTGTCATGAGAGAGAGGGTATTGGGTGGAATGACCGGGTCCGGAAGGAGAGACAGGAGAGGGATGGTTGAAAACGACCGGTAACGGCGAGAACCGGATATTGTCCTCCGAGGCCATGGCCGGTGATGAAGGTGGCATCTCATCATTGCCAGGCTCCACCCAATGATCAGGAGGGAAATCGTGTGCGGATGCCAAAGGGGCCGGTTGTTGTGCAGAACCGCTGGCAGCAACCATCTGGACATCATCGACGTTGTCCTCCTCTTCGATAGGACTTGGGTGCCGGATATCCTTGCCTACAAGAATACATCAGAATGGACAAGTAACCGGAAACAAAAGACTTGCCTTTTGCCTTGGATTTCCGACTCATCTTCTCTCCGGTGGCTTTGGACTGGATGGTCTTGGAGCGAGTGGCTACTGTGACTGCAGGTGGTGCAGTGACGGTGATGGGGGTAATGGTGTTGGCAGAGGTGGTGGGTGCGCTCTCTGTGTTAGTCCGGATGCATGCCATCTTCCACAGATAGCACAATGAGCAAGTCGAGGCGATCTCACCTTTCTTCGTCAATTGGGGGAAACACTCGACATTCTTGGCCAGACATCTATCACAAGGCGGATGGGGTTCATCAACGCGGGGCTATGGAGAATTAGTATGGTGAAGCATGGCATTGACCGGAAGACACACCGGTTCTGGCACTTTGCCCTTGCTGGTGGCCTTGCCCTTGGGCTGCATGGACTATTCAATAATGTTAGCGTTGTATATCACCTGTGCTATGACAAGCAAATCCTACCAGTTTTTGCCGTTTCCCTGGTCTGACAGTGGCCTGCATCGTGATGAGTGATAGACCGGTAAATGTGAAGTAAAATAATGAACTTGCCTTTGGCCTGCCTTGTGTATCATCATCCTCATCCTCCAATTCATCCTCTTCATCGTCCTGAATCACAACCCGCTGACTTGCCTTCGACGCACTGCCCTTCTTTTTGACAACGATGACAGCCTGACAAGTTGATTTCCGTGGCTGCTTGTTGCATTAGTAATGTTGAATATCTCAAGAAACAAACACACCTCAACGTCCAGAAGATCATCCACATCAATCCCCTCGCCATCCTCATCGCCATGATCTTCTGGTACCTTTGCCTTCCCTTTCCCCTTCCCCTTCTCCTTCCCCTTCCCCTTTGCCTTGTCATTGTCGGTAGTGTCAGTGTCAGACAAAATTGCCTTCGACTTTGGTGCAGGCTTACGGGCCCGGTTGACACGGGGCAAAGGGGGGCTGCTGAGCCAGTGTTTCCAGTTTGTTGATGTCCCGGCTGTTGCTGTCCCACCGGGTGGCACATCTTTAGGTATGCGAATGCTGATGTGTGGTGCCGGTGTCGGTGCAGAGGCTGGTGCCGGTACTGGAACAGGTACCGGTGGTGGGGCAGGTACCGGTGGTGGGGCAGGTACCAGTGGTGGGGCAGGTACCGGTGCAGGAGTAGGTACCGGTGCAGGTGCAGGTGCAGATGCAGGAGCTAGTGCAGTCACAGGTGTGAGTACAGGTTGCATGAGGAGGAATATCCTTACCAGTAGCTGCAGGTGAAGCAGGCGGCGTATGACCCAATGTCTTACTGTACAATGGATGCTTCATGCACATATCCTGATTGTTACCAAGATGGTTCCAATCTGGTACTACCACCAATTGTGAGGTGTGCCTCTGAGCACGAAAGATCTCAGCTGCAAGTGACAGCAGGCCAGGGGGAACATATGAAGCATCCCTCCCATATGAACGAATCACGACATTCTGGGACCCTAGTATCAATACAGGCAACCGACAGGACGACAAACATACCACTTCACGAGCAATCTCGCGGCTCAACTCCATTTTCTCATCCTGAGACTGCGACCGGAGAACATCTTGAACCATGTCATCGAGCCGGGCGACAAGAGCGATGAGAGCCTGGTTGGCAGCCGCAGCAGAAGCAGATTGAGAAGACATGATAGTGAGACGATTACAATAGAGCTACTGGACAAGTCACCTGGAAGAGACGTGTAAAACAACAACACTTATAAAATTTTCAATCACCGGCTAGCCGGGTCGACTCGGACATATCCGAGTCCATTGTTCGCCTCATTGTTGTCAGTCTATTTTTAGATATAAATGTCTCATTGTTGACACGTCATCAGTAATCAATTGTTGCCAACCAACCTGTGAGTACATCATGCGGTCGCAGCCTTCTGTAGAACATTGATTCTTCCAGTGATATCATGAAGTCTGTGGATTTGTACGACCCATTCCAGAAGAAAAGAAGGATGCGATCATCGGCGATTGCTCAGCATAATCTACATGTATCTAGTGAGGATGTAGGTAAGAAACCATCACCTCCCACAACGTACCGGTTGATATTATCCGGCATCCCAGTTCATAGCATCTTGGAGCCAAGGAGAGAGGAGCGCACTTACTACAACCCTTTCATGGTTTGTTCAAGCATGGGTGAATGTGAGTTCATCTCATGCTAAGCGATGGTAAGGACAATTGATATGAATTTTAATAGATGTCCTGTCAGCCCATGACGGGTTGCAAGACAGTAAAAGATTGAAGATGGTGAACTCTGAACTGGCAGATGACGACCGGTCATTGGACCTGGGATTTCCTTTGTCAGATTATGACCGGATGACCGACAACCACGACCAACAACAATCAGACATGTTGGATATGCAATTTCCCACCTTGTCTGATGATGACCGGTCAAATGGTGAGATGTTGGATTTGGGATTGCCTCCACAGCCGGATGATGAAGATGTGCTCGATTTGGGCTTTGATATTGACCTCTGTGATCCGGCCGGCAACACAGGCATGTCGCTGGAATCTACATCTCATAAACTGACACTCATTTGAAACAATATTTGACTAGAAGATGGGGCTCTTGACATGGGCTTCGACACATATCTGGCAGATGATTCGCTTGATAAAGGGACTAATATTTCACCAGAAGAACACCCTTTAGATATGGGTTTCAAGATGGATCCGGTACGTGTTGATCCGGATCAGTCTTGTAAGCCTTCTTGCTGTTCCCGAGATTGTTCTGATCATTTAAACTTAGTCGCCGTCAGTCAACAGGATCCAGTTGGATATGTAATTCAACGGGCTGTAGGCGATTTGCGCGAGGCAATGCACCGGTTGCAGATGGACCGGGCTGGTAATGCAATGTCACCGGATGAAGCCTTTGCTAGAGAGCAAGTTCTTGACTGTACACAAGAGTTATTGTTGGCATGTCAACTGATGTCAATATCTCGACTTTCAACGTGAAGTATATATTTATAGTCAAATGCTATCTACACCTATCACTAGAATACTTGCTTACAACGATCCAAATTACTATGATTGCATATACTGAGCTTTATAAGAGGCCTTTGTACTTCTATGAGAGCGCTTTGGCTCTGGATTGGTTGTCTGTGCTTCAGATGCTTTGGCTTTCTTGCCGGAGTCCCTTCTTGGGGCAGGGGGTGTTGGTTTGTGCACCGGTGCTTTGTTAGTTTTATTCTTGGCATAGACACCTGATGTAGGGCCAAATGCACGACTTCTAGAAAGATGTTGCGAAGGCAGAGGATCATTGTCATCATTACCAGTTGATTGTGCAGAACCGGTGCTGGTGTTGTCTTCTGCCTGTCCCCTTCCACTTGCAGTCAGCTTTGATTTCTTGACTGGTGGCGGACCATCCGACTCCAAATCAGATTGAATGGGAGCAACCCTACCCCTCTTTTGGGATGATTTTGATTTAGGTGGTGGTAGGACCGGTATGGATCTCTTGACCAGTGGGCGAGTATCTTCCTCCTCTGAAGCCGGACGAGTGCTGCAGACGGTATTGGTCTGTTTGGCCTTTGAAGTTGGTTGTGGGACAGGTATGGATTTCTTGACCGGTGGGCGAGTATCTTCCTCCTCTGAAGCTGTACTAGCCCTGCGGACAGTATTGGTCCGTTTTGCCTTTGAAGGTGGTGGTGGGACCGGTATGGATTTCTTGACCGGTTGGCGAGTATCTTCCTCCTCTGAAGCTGTACTAGCCCTGCAGACGGTATTGGTCCGTTTTGCCTTTGAAGGTGGTGGTGGGACCAGTATGGATTTCTTGACCGGTGGGCGAGTATCTTCCTCCTCTGAAGCTGTACTAGCCCTGCGGATGGTATTGGTCCGTTTTGCCTTTGAAGGTGGTGGTGGGACCAGTATGGATTTCTTGACCGGTAGGCGAGTATCTTCCTCCTCTGACGCCGGACTAGTGCTGCGGACCGTATTGGCCCGTTCTGCCTTTGAAGGTGGTGGTGGGACAGGTATGGATTTCTTGACCGGTGGGCAATTGTTGATAGATTTTAACTTTGGTGGTGGTGATTGGAGGTTGTCATCGTGATAGTGATCGTCATCCTTCTCCTCATCTTCATCATCCTTGTTCTTATCCTCACTACTAGACACCGGTTCCACCCCCCTGGTGCGCCTTCCGGTGGACTTTTTCACTGGAACCCTGGGTCTCGCATCAGAACCATTGCCGGAGATTATCTCTGCCGGTTCTCTCATTGTCTTATCATCGCCTTCCCAGCCTTTAAATTCAAAGGTTGGGCGAACCTGGTCCTTCTGTCTTTGACATCACAACTCTAACAGCCGGTCAGCATCAGCCAGCCGAATCTTTGACGGATCGTTGAGCCTCCAGCCGGTAGGTAAAAACTTGGCTGCAATAAAGTCACCCTGAGCCATCCTGACTGAGGCCCAAGGAACAGACGCCTTTGGTTGTTGGCTGCACAATCCTGAAAAATTGCTGGTCAGTGGATCAACTCTCCAGATGCATCATTTGTGAAACTGACTGTAGTGCTTTGTGAGGAAAGTCCTTATAAGATGCTTTTTGCTCTCTAGGTTAAGCTCTGTGACGTCCGGTATGACCGGCAGCCCATAGCTATCCACCTCCAAAGGATAATTGTCCTTCTTTCCACCTTTCTTCCTGCTCTTCTTCACCTCCTCTTCATTATCATCGTCATCATTATTCAGGTCAACGTCTGGTATCACCCCAGGTCAGATAAGTACTTGACTGAATGGCGCAAGATTTTCAAACAGAAGCTCACCGAACTCTTCACCAGCATAGGCATTCCACTCCGATAACATGGACTTCCAGTCCTTCATATCGGTAAAACTATTCCCCTTCAACTTTTCATTGAAGTCAATTCTTTCAACCGGATCAGTATATCTTTACCGGTTGAGTGTGAAGCGGAACTCACCCATTGATCCGGACTTCGTCTTCCTCTGTTTTCCATGCTGACAATATGAAAATTCTCATACCGACCTGCTTCCACAACTTTGTTGCCAGATCCTTCATCATACCGGGTGCTTTCTTCTTTGCAAAGTCCACCTGAACAGCTGCAGGAGGAGCCTTGGCAGACCACTCAATCGCAGTGTTCTGAGCCTCCTCCAGCTCCTCTTTAGATAGACTGGCCACCACTGCAGTGAGTGTTGTCTGATATCTTTCAATAAATTTCTTCGATCCTGGCATCGCTCCAGTCTTTTCAATGATCTCCTCCTTGCGCAGTTGTTCTATGACCGACCGGGAAGTCCATTTCTGACCAAACTTGTTGGCTTTCTTTTCTTGAGTCTTTTCAGGTCTCCGGTTATATAACCAGTCCCGGTACGTCTTTATACATCATGATATAAGTCAGTCATCATGTATAAATTTAAAGTTCTACTGCTCACATATTTCCTGTTCTTCAATGACCGGTCATCCATAGCAGGGGCATGCACCTTGGCCTCTTTTATGACGGCCTTCAGAATCTTTTTTCTATTGTTGGCAGCTGCTTCCTTCCATTCTTCTAGGTGGGATTTCAAGACCAGCACCTCTTCATCGGTTAATTTCTTCTGCTTGGTCTTTTTTGGGCTATCGACTGATGAGTTGGACTGGGGCATGGCAAAGTAGTTGAGGAGCAGTGGACGTCTTGATAGAAGAAAGGATGCATGTGTATCTCACAGTAATAGGTTACATAACCGATGTACGTGACTGCAAACCGACCAAAGGATTGTCCAATACTCGTTCATTGGTATGAATCCCTCAACATCCTATGTGTTTCTGATTCATAGAATGTAGAACTGTAAAAGCATATGGACTTAGACCTGTATTATATAGTATATGGGCAGCATACAGCCCTCAAATACTGGATACCACCCTGTGCAATCATATTCCACAACTTGCTCAAGTAAGTATAATCACAAATGACTTTGAAGGCCAGCATGAATGTGGACATTAACAGCCGGTGTCCTGAAGATCAAACCAGAAGCCTGTTTGTCTCTAGAGTTGGTTATTTGGTTTGAACTGTTCTCTCAGAGCATGTTTTGCAATGCCAGTGCCCTCGACTAAAGTTTAATCAATGTATTGACTTTGCCAGACTTGTCAATAATCTAATCGAAAGAAGTATATATTGCTGCCAAACCCTCGTAATTACCTGAATGATTGTTCTACAGCCAACAATCCAGAATGCTGGCTAGACAGAAGTATTTAAACATTGAAATGTAACCTCCGGTCGACATACTTTATCCAGTCAATTGTCATGTAACTTGAACATGAAATCCATGCGACTCGGGTTAATGGGAGGATTATGGTGTTTGTGATGTCATGCAACTATGGCAACCTCAGTGACTCCAACCTTAATATATCCCATACAGGTGACATTGCAAGATCTTCAGTGAGATCACAGGAACAATGTGGTAATCCCGACCGGTCAAACCATTCGGAGTCTGAACAACACCGGATCAATTGGTCCCTTGATGACTGGGTAGTTCAATGACTAAGAAGGGAAAATGTGGTAATCTCGACGGTTCAAATCACCTGGAAACCGGAATTGATGGAAGGCACCGCAGTGAAGTCATGTGCTAGGCTACCAGTCATCAAGTTTACAGCACACCGATCCTTTCCAGTCAATATGGCAAATACCAAACAAAAGGGAATCACATACACCCCTCCTACGAAGAAACGATTACCTCAGCTGTATAAGCTCAAGGAAAAAACTACAACCAGGGGATCGAGGTCATCTTGGGTGAAAGATTCATGGGCTAGGAAAACAAAGTCGGTAACATCATCACCAACAAAATCACCCTCAAAGCATAAATCTGGGTCGCCTCACTTGCTCTATGAAGGTGCTGACTTTGAGTTTGACCAAGGTAACATCCCCCAGCCTAAATTTCCAAAATCCCAGGCAAGCAACAGTTATCTTCATTTCCCCGGTCTGACCGGACCATACAGAGTCAGAATGCATATCTCCGGCAATGGAAATGCAAGTTCAAGGACTACATAAATTCACTCATGATCAGAGAAGCCCCACCAGCCAACCGACTTTGCTCAGTCTGCAAGAAGGATGGGGTGTATAGATGTCATGGCTGTTTCAATGAGCCACTCTTTTGCACAGACTGTTGCAGAATTCAACATCAAAGACATCCATTCCATCGCATCAGTCAATGGACCAGATCATTTTTTCAAGAAACTTCACTCATTAAAGTTGGCCTGCACATTCACTTTGCTCACGACGGCACTCCATATCCCAGCAGCACCGATGACTCATCAGACTTCTTTCAGTGGTCAGATACCGATGACAATATAGATGACGATTATCTGGAAGAACCTTTCATTCAACCGGTCAGAGACTCAGATCGTCCGGCAATAACTGTAGTAGACAAGTCCGGTGTTCACTCCCTTTCCATATGTTATTGCCAATGCCCCAGTGCTCTCAGCCGAGACATACAGCTCTTTCAAGCAGGCTTGTTTCCGGCATATTTCACCAGACCAAAAAACTGCATTCACATTCGCTGTCTTGGACGACTTTATGTTAGACAATCTTGAGTGCGGTACATCAGCCATGAATTACTACAGCAAAATTCGCAGACTCACCTCTAGCATCTTTCCACTGATGGTTACGGTGAGCTGGGTTTTATTCTGTACTTCACATTCTGGTCATTAAAGAACGATATCTGTAGGATCGCTATAGAGAGCTCATGAGAGCTGCCAGGCAGTGGCGACAATGCAAGCTCTACAAGTGGCATGGATTTGCCCACAAAGATGACCAGCCAAAGGATGGTGATCTTGCCCTATTTTGTCTGGCATGTCCGCAACCGGGTATAAACTTGGACCTGTCTACCAGTACAGTCGCCCAGCCTGACGATACACCTTCCTGGCTCATGACTAGGTATTTGGTCATGGATGGCAATTTCAAAGCCGAGCACATGCATCCGGTGAATCCATCCGATGAAGTATCATTAATGGATGGTCTGGGGTTCATGGTCTCCGATGAAAGATACAAGAGCCATTTGGCCATTGCTCAAGACAATGTCCAAAGGTCGGATTGCAATAATCACCGGGCAGTAAATCAAGCAAACGCCTCGCAGCAAAGGCTGGAAGCCACCGGTATAGGAGGATGTGCATGTGCACAGCATGGATGTTTTGTCCCACATTCCATGGTCGACTTTCAGAAAGGCGAAAGGTCAGTACATATTGCATCCGGTCACATCAATGGATGATCTTACAACTCTTACGTGGAATAATCAGGCAGATGAACATGGACTATGCATTAAGTCAAGCTCTCAACTATAAGACCGACAGAATCTCTCGAGCCATCACTTTCTACGACATAAATTTTCAGTATAACAAGTATTTGAAGGACCGGATCGCTTCCAGCATGTATCTTTCCATCCCCATAGGTATGGATATCATTCCTGGAATCGGTTTGTGGCATGTACATGGACATCAAGACAACTGCTTTGTCCGGTATGCATCAAATTTTATCCATGGGACCGGCCGGATAGACGGAGAGATTATGGAAACCCTCTGGGCACCTTTGAATATAATATCTCCATCGGCCAGGGGCATGGGAACTCCCCATCGCAAGGAGGTATTGGATTATCAGATGAATGATTGTAATTTCATGAAAATGATTTGTATAAGTAAGTCACCCACCTCCAGATGTGCGTGTGTTGTCGGCGCTCATACAATTCATGTCCGGATGGCATGTCCGGTAGCTAAGTTTCTGTCCAGAAAATTCAAAGAGGCCATCAAGGGGGCTTCGGAAAGCAAACTTGCTTTTGATAATCTTAACGAGACTGCCAACCCCGACATGGTAGTTCTTTGGAAGGCAGAGGAGGCATTGGCTCATGCAAACAGAGCAGAGGATCCTACGGCTATGGACATCTATGAGGTCCGGTTGGAAAGAGGCAAGTGTCCACTTTTATTGGCTGTCCGGTAGGTCTGATCATGAGGTCGTGCAGCACCAACAAAGAAACAGCAGGAATTGCACCTGTTGCAGGCTCAAAATCGCCCTGAACATCCGGTCATCAACCCTCCCGGTCGACAAGGAGCCGCCACTTGGCTTGCAACTGGTCTTACCATAGAGGAATCGCAAATATCTCTCTGCAAGGATGTGAGAAGTTTGCGAATGCACCCAATGGACATGCAACTGTTGAGAGTGGCTCGATGCCAGGATAAGCTTCACACTCAGATCACGAGCTTTCTTGAGATGTCACCTACTTATCTCGGAGTTGGAGTCAATGTCAATGATCCGGATTGTCCGGTTACTGTTTGTAACTCACTGGATGATTGTGAAGATTACTCCGATTTTGACGAAGATCAAAATCCTGATCCGGACGTACACAATGCTTCCATATTTCAACCGGAGCTCACTGTCATACCCCTACCATCCAACATTGGTGCAGTAAGGTGCAGGGAGTTAGGTCTCACCAATCTCATCAAAGAAGAAATTGCCCTCCGAGAAGGTCAGGCCAATGACACATTGCATGCCATTAGAGTTCATTTAGGAGATAAAGCTGTTTTATTCCGCAATACTGTCCGGTCAGCCAAGTCACAGGCTTCATCTACTAGGGCATGGACTCGAGTTCGCTCAGTTGAAACAGCAGTCAATCTCCATGCTCGTATATATTCGAAATGCCGGTCGCAACTGGCCAAACTCCCTTACCACGACCTCTTGAAGAAATACCTTCCTTTGAAGAAAGAAGACCTGAAAGCCAGCTCTGCGGTGGCCGATCCAAATGCACGTGGTCAGAGAGATACCACTCTTTCATGGTTCTGGTCCTTGGATGTTCAGGGAGACACATCAGGAAATGACTGGATGACTGAATGTGTGTCTAGTGTTTCTGATTATGAGGTCATCCGGTCTCACATGTTCTAATTATAGTTTACCGGGTTAATTGGCTCCGGACAAAAGCACTGCGCGATCGCTGGAATGAGGAGGTTATTCTTGTCAAACATGAAATGCAGTGGTCAATTAATTTCTTCACCCACAGAGCCAAGCAATGGCTCTGTCACATGCACAATGCTACTTCTGCAGGGCTCACTGGACATACATGTTATGCTGCCAGACAATCTCACATATATGACCTGCTGGCAGCACATGCAGAGGATTCTTTTCGGAAAATGATCGTTGGGATAGAAGTCCCAGTTCCGGGTTAGTTGCATAATTGTGATTACCAGTTGATAATATATGAACAACTAGCGGCATATGCAGAGGATGCTCTGTGGGAAATGATCGTTCGGATAGAAGTACTGGTGCTGGGTTAGTTACATAATTGTGGTCACCGGTTGATAAGACCTGTGAGGTAATATACCCTTGTGTTTGGCATGTAAATATTCCCAGTGTGCCGGTCACACCATAGCCTCATATTCCTCTCCATGGACAGTACTGTAACTCTCATCCCCTCCAACCAAGTCATCATTGCCGCCAAGGGCAATCACATCACAGCTGCAGATATCTCTCACGCCCTATTCTATGCTAATTCCCGGATGCTGGCCATGCGCCTGTATGTCGACAAGAGTTTTGCCACTGCCATACCTGGTTATGCAGAGATGTTCTACACCCTGATGAAATGGGAGATGGAGGTAGGGAGCCAGCCATGCCGATACTCCCATGCCCTCATCTTTTTCTCTGACATAGACCTTTGCAACACCTTTCATCAATATATGTTTTATCACCCGGTTGTCAGCTACTATTCCTCAACTTCTCAAGGATGTGCTCTCAACCATGACTGCTCACACATTGGTTGATCGGCGACCGGATGTCAATGCCATTTTGCAGGATATCCGGGCATTGCGCCTTTCTGCGGATTCAAACAAATCTGATGACTATGACATTGCTCACATGCCGGACTACTTCAATGACTGGTGGAAGGAATCACTTGGTTGTTGCAGGGTTTCAGATATGTTGCCCAAGTCATCTGTCCAAGATGTTATGGATTTGGTTGAATGGCACTTTTCACACCTTGTCAGTCCATAAGATCTTGTTAACACCGGATGCACTGGATGCTCACACCATTTATTACAGCCGGATCATGTGAAAACCGGTCTTCTCCCATATATTGTGTGTGGTCCGGATAATGCGCCGGATATAATTGGTTCAAGATCTGGTGTGCCGTGCCACCAGACAACGATCGGGAGAGAGTTGCTGGATATGTTGCAGACAAGGATAATGAATCTTAGGCGATCAAGTGATAGGTTGACCGGATTGGTTGGGCCGATTGATGAAATCACACGGGCTGTGTCATCCTCACAGGCACTCATTGACCGGTTACATATAGATAACAGTGCATCCACTTCACAGTAAAGTAGAACCCAATGTCCGCCGGTATCCTGCCAATCTTTTATACCATCACGTCATATTTACCTGAATGGAAATGGAGTCTGTCTATGCAATCAGGTCATGTGAATATGGGGCTATTTGTTCCAATGGATATAACAGTGGTGCTTTCCTGTCACTTAATTGTTTCAGCAAGCCATGGTTACAATTCCACTTGACTGGGCCTTGTACCAGACCTACCTTGCCGGTGAATTGGTGCATGAGATTTTCACATCTACAATTCTTCACCGACCGGTAAAGGATATGGACCTTGGACTCTTGGATATCGACACTTGTATTGCTTTGGAGCAGCTAGCCTATGTGATGGCCGCTGCTTACTCTAACGCCGGTATGTATTCCGGCACACCTGTCTGTTCTGGTCAACTAACCTGCAGAAAGTTCATCTTAAAATAGACATGGTTAGATACAATGACACCCTGGACAAAGATGAATCCGGTCGAAGTGAGACACGAGAAGAGGTTCTTTTGAACAAATTCCCCCCTGAAGAGGAGCACCTCTTGACAACACCATCTGTTGTCATTGATTCCAGCAGTAGAATCATTGTCTGGTATTTGCCTGGAGCACTCACCTCTATGATGATGGTTGGTCCTTTATCCTTTATCCATTTCCAGTTGTTCTTGTATCTTACCTGGATGCATTACTTAGAAAGATATTCACGGTGCCACACATTCCATGAGTGGTTTGTTGAAGCATAGCATCACATCAGGCAAGATTTCTCAATGGAGGACCCACCGGTCAAACTTCTATACAAGTCCAGATGGAATGATCACCCCCGGTTGCATCAATATATCTCCTGCATGGTTTCAGCAAGGAAGAGAGGTGTGTCAGGTCCACATGCATTGAAATCTCTGGTTGGAAGTATTGTAGAAACATGGCTTCCGAATCTTGACCTGGAAGATGGCTTCTCGCCGGAGGTATCAGCGGCACTGAAAGGTGCTGCCGGTCACAATATTACAGCATCCCTTCAAAGGTCCGGTATCATTGTCTCTGCTGCACTTCGAGTCATGCACCCTGATCTTTATTGGGCCGGAATGGAAACTCAAGTCAGGCTTGGTAAATGGGCTGCCAGATATGAGTTGAATGAGATGCACCATCATCTTCAACGCTGGACATCCGTTTTTAATGTGGTATCGATCATATGCAATCGCCAGACACCCCCTCATAGAGATCCTAAATGTCAACCGGCAGCATTTGATATCATGACTACTGCTGGTGTTTATCGCCCGGTTATCATGGATTTCATGAACCTTGGAATCAAGTTTCTCTACGACTCTGGCTCAATATTGGCTTCATCATGTCGACTGGTGAGACATTACATGAACGTGGAAGAGGGCAACAGGATTGTCACTGCATGGTACATGCGAGACAGCATCCACAATTTTGTTGGGACTCCGAGCACGGAGTATGCAAAATATGACCGTGTAGATATTTAGCAACTCCATGCATTGGGCCACATATATTGCTTGTCAATCTCATTTGATATCATAGACGTACTGTATGGGTATAGACCCGGATGTATATATGAGACGGACCAGATGTTTATTCCCGGTTAATATACTTTGTATGCACCGGATGAGGCATCATGCCACCCACATCATATATTCACCCTATCCCCCGGCCCACTCGTCTCTGGTTAGTATACTCTGTATGCACCAGATACCCCCTCCATCCCACAACGCTCTTCCGGCTCATCTGTATCATACATTTCACCTTCACCTCTATCACACAGCGGACATCCGGCTCATCTGTATCATCCATCTCGCCTTCACCTCTCGCACACCGGACACCCGGCTCATCTGTATCATCCATCTCACCTTCACCTCTGTCCCACAATGCTCTTCCGGCTCATCTGTATCATCCATACCAGCAAATATTTCCATTGTCCACCGGGTGGAATATCATGAGGCCCACCTGTCTCCATTTCACCTGGTACCCCCAGCCCACTCATCTTCCATTATACCCCATACCCCCGGCTCACTTGTCTTCCATTGTGCTTCACATACCGGCCCACTCGTCTCCATTGCACCTGGTACCACCGGCCCACTCGTCTTCCATTGTGCTTCACATACCGGCCCACTCATTTCCATTGCACCCGGTACCACCGGCCCACTCGTCTTCCATTGTGCTTCACATACCGGCCCACTCGTCTCCATTGCACCCGGTACCACCGGCCCACTCGTCTTCCATTGTGCTTCACATACCGGCCCACTCATCTCCATTGCACCCTTACCCCCGGCCCACTCGTCTTCCATTATACCCCATACCCCCGGCCCACTCGTCTTCCATTGTGCTTCACATACCGGCCCACTCGTCTCCATTGCACCCTTACCCCTGGCCCACTCGTCTTCAATTGTACTTCTCATCCCAGCCCACCCATCTCTATTGTACTTCGCATACCCGCCCACCCATCTCCATTGCACCCCATACCCCCGGCCCACTCGTCTTCAATTGTACTTCTCATCCCAGCCCACCCGTCTCTATTGTACTTCGCATACCGGCCCACCCGTCTCCATTGCACTTCATACCCCCGGCCCACTTGTCCCCATCATACCCATCTCCCTGGCCCACTCATTTACATTGCACACCATTCAGCCGGCCCACTCATCTCTATAGCTCATTGCATTCACTACTATTTACATAGATATCCTATATAGTACATTCCTATACTACCATCTACACTATATACCACCGGCCCATCCGTTTGCAACAGGTACACACAACCCTGCAGCCCACTCGTCTACCATGGTAAAATTGTTGCCATGGGCCCACATGGGCTGGCCCGCCTCTATTGCTACATTGTCACCCTCAGCTGTCCGTCTAATACGGGTGAATTCACTGAAGGGGCTCATTATTCAGTCCTATATATCACTTTGCAAATGCTCACAATTGAGTATTGAGGTCCGGATAACTATTGGTACATGGTATTCATTTGGTGGAATGTATATAGGTCACAATTCTTGCTCTTTGTTTGATCTTTCACACACTGTATGGACCATCCACACTAGCCCATCCACATGATGGAACCCCAGCGTGAATGTGAACAGAATCCCTCATATACCATGCCCAAGCAATATGATCCCCTTCCACATCATAAACTCCATGTCTCACAATCCTTCTGGAAAACGCAATCATACAGCCGGAATTGTACTTGAACTCCAGCTGAAGGCTTGGCATTGTCATCCGAGCATCAGAATAGTTCCCCACAGTGGTGAGAATGTTGAAGCATTCAGCAATAGACAAATGGTCTCGATGATTGGGGGTTTCCCGATTGGGAATAATGGAGAGGGTGTTAAACACGGATGCCCAGTACTGCAGGGCCTCCGGCATCTGTGGCAGATCCTTGCTTACTGCTATATGTCCAAGGTTGGACAAGGTTGGCAACCCTGCCCAGTACTGCTCAGGATATATGACCCTGAGTGCTGCGGATGCGATGGCTGCTGGCCTTGCAATGGCTTTGAGGATATTCTCGCAGGAAGGTCCCTTCAATGATGCAGATACCTCCAGATCGGACACAGTCTTTGGGATTGGTGAGTATGACTGCCGGAATCACCATCTCATCAGATCCTACCTCGTGTCCCTGTTGAAACCATACTGGAGATAAATTGATGCATCCAGGAGTTGAGCCAACATCGTCCGAGCCCCGTTTGAACCACTTTTCATTAGTTCGCCAATTGTCATCAGCCTTTACACTTTTTTCAAGGCTTGGAGCGAGCAAATTGGTGGCCTCCCTGATTTCCTTCTGTAGGTTCCATTTGATATTCAATACACATTGAGTAACAATGTATATTACACACCTGGGTGGTGTCTGTCAGGGCGTCTGGGAGGTACCATGCGATGATGGCACCAGATGCATCAAGAATTGTGGCAGGTTCGTCGACCAACCTTTTGCCTTCATGGCCAGGAGGACACCTCTCAAGCAACTTCACCTCTCTCTGTTCATTATGCCCGGTGTCCTTCGTGGAGATCAATTTGCTATATCTTGCAATATCCATCTGCATCTGAACTGTCATGCAGGAATTTGAATGATAAAACGAATTTTCCGAATCTGCAGGAAGACCCACTGGGATTTTTATATGCCTTTATGAGTACATCAGCCAAGCGATCGCACACCATCACCAGATCAGTGTCTAGGTTGGGAGAAGGTATGACTGGGCCTCCTCCAGTCTTCTCTGCCTTGAATTTCTGTTCGGTATATTCCCCTGCTTCATAAGTCACAGTCAGGGCCCAAGTGCGCCAGATGTTTATGCTATCAGGAGTGGACGGGGAAGAACCGTTCATGCTGGATGTCTGGACTTTGGTATTAAAGGGGGTGGAGATAGAGAGGATCAGATAAGGGAGCCTGGGATAATTTTGGCTGTCAAAGATGTATTATTATCCATTGCTCAATGAAATACTACCTGATTGGAAGTGTGCTGGTCATCAGATATTCATTTGTCGACTCCCGGGTCCCGGAACTCAGAAGTCGGTACGGTTGACCCAAATTTGGGTGGTCGGAACTTGGCGTCTCATAGGGCAACACAAGCTTCACACCACCATGTCAGGAGATCACCTGCTGCTCCAGGAACTAGGTAACTTTGATTTATTACCTCCTCTGAGTATGGTTGACTCACATTTTGGTGGTCGGAACTTGGCTTCTTGTAGGGCAACACAAGCTTCACACCCCAGATTCCACATTCTGCAAGACAACCTATGCACCATCAAAGGCCATGTCAAGAGAGCACCTGCTGCTGTCTTTAGAAACATCTCAACTTTGGTTGGCCATTTAACACAGAAAGTATTAACTAAATTATGTGTTGAGTTCCGGGTCCCAGAACTCAGAACTCGGTACAGTTGACTCAAATTCTGGTGGTCGGAACTTGGCTTCTCATAGGGCAAAACAAGCTTTGCACCCCGGATTCCACATTCTGCAAGACAACCTACGCACCATCAAAGGCCATGTCAGGAGATCACCTGCTGCTCCGGTGTAGAAGAGGAATGGGAGGTGGGTGAATATAGGTGGTATGAGATAACTCAAGTAGTCCTTGGTGAGCGAGATATACGTCGGCCCAAGGGGATTGCTACTGAGAAGGTTCCTCTAAGTGTATAACACAGAGGGAAACACTGAACCAGGCACTTGATGAAGCCTGGTAAGGCGCGCAACGATGAGCGAAGTGCGAGCGAGTGAAAGCGATGTGGAGTGCCGATGAGCGATAGCGGCCGACGATAGATATCAATGCGCAACTTATAACGGAAGCGCGCGCTTAAGCAGAAGCAGTGCACGTTGACCTGCACCAAACTGGTTCGGTACATGGACGACCAATACTCTCTCATGAGTCATATACCCTGAAATACCACTATGAAACCCTTTTCCCTTTTATCTGAAGTTGGACTGAGGCTAAAGGAATATTTTTTGCTTTTCTTTTTATTTTCCAAGTCTGTATACCAGCAGCCTGAATATTTTAGTACATTTAATTCTGCGATGAGTTTTGCTTAGTCAGCCATGGTGATGACTCAGACAAAATCCCACACATGTCAGGTGACTGTGAAAAATATTTCCCACATATGTTGTCCTGGAAAAACATTAGTAAACCCCTAAATACTAGGCTCGCGTCATTCTCACCCTTCAAACAAAGCAAAGCAAAGACAGCCACACACAGGATTCATATCATGTGACACTTCTTACTCTCCTTCTGGATTTGTCATCAGGGGTTGGACAGGTCATATGACTTAGCAAAATACCCAATGACTCACTATGACTCACTCTAGATACTTACTATGACTCTTGATGACTCTTGAATACACTAGTAGCACAGCCACATTTATTGTGTATATAACGACCCCAGTTTTTGAAATAATAACAAGCGAACAGCAGCAGATAGTAGGGTGTTTTTCAGCCCATCTAACACTAAGTTGTGAGTAAGGTGTGATAAGTGTCAGTACCAGTGTCAAGAACTGTCTTAAGACTGAGAGGAACATTCTCAAGAGACAGTAATACTGCAAGCTCATCATACTGAACGACCAGCTGTGAGCTCACTGTGTGCAACAACCAGCAAGCAAGGTACAGCCACAGTTATATTCTGATTTCTATTATTCTTTTTCTTTTCTTTTACTTTCACCAACCTTTGGTGGTCTTTGTCCAGAAATATATTTCCAAAATATTCGTGTTGTCTCTACGTCCACTTAAGACTCAGAAGTAGCATAGTGGGGAGACTTTAGGAATTGATAGTGAAGCTTGACCTCACTCATCTGAGTAGCGATACTGAGTCAAGATATTCTGTGCCTGCTAGGCTTTAGCCGTTGAAGAGGGGACTTGGTAGTAAACCCAAGGACGTCCGTTCCTGAGTCTGTTTGAATACTCAAAGAAGAGTTCCTTGACAGCAGGTTCAATATTGAGCTAAGAGTTCTACAATAAAGCATTTGATTAGTCTTGACCTTTGATTCTACCTGTTTTGTGCTGAGGGGGTTTATCATTGTAATTCTGCACCATTTCTTTGGAGTACAGTTGGTACGAAGCACTGATGTTGAAAGGGAACTTGAGGAAGAATCCCGTATATTCTTTTGGTCATTGCCATACTGTCAGGCTGACCATTGTTTGTTTGTTTTCCTGTCAAAGTCCATAGATTGGATTGACCATCGTATTACTGATCTTGCAGAAGTATCCTTAGCTGAATATACTTTGGGTAGTATACAACTAGCCACCCACGAACGACCACATTATCAGTCATTGGTATTTGTCTGAATCGCTGACTGTGGAGATATTTGTTTTTATAGGTGTTTATCTATAGATCATCTATCTAAGAAGACAACGTGCGGGTGGTGGAGCGCAGCGACTCTTAATGAGTCAGAATACTAATGGACAGAGTTTCTAGTAATGTACGGCGGCGCTCATATTGTACTTAGATACTTTAGATTTTTAGAGGATAACTTAAACTTATAGTCCAACAATGTGTGGGCAGAAAAAGATAGTCATTACACAGTTTATGCGCATCTATATATACTAAGTAATGTTAAGTGCTGTCAAGCGCTAAAGCGAACCGAGAAGCGAAGTGGATGCGAGATAATATGTAATAAGGGTCCATAATGGAAAACATACGAAACATGGCCATAAGCGCCGGAGATATGTCAGAATTAATGAAAATAGAATCGGAATTCGCACTGACGAACTGAACGGACATGGAATGGATGGATGGAGGACATGCGACGGAACCGAGGATGCGCATGCTGATGCGCGACTAAGGAGCGACCAGAGCGCTGGTGCTTGCGAGCGGCCGACAAAGCGCTTGAGCACGCTGTGTGAGATATGAGTCACGCTATGTCGGGAAGTGATAGTAACAATGGGATTTTAGATCCCTGCAAGGCCACAGGGATATTAGTCTCTACATCT